CTGTATTTAGATGACCCCCTCCCCTACCTACACCAAATTGATAGCACTACGTAGTTACCTGTAGGCCTAGCCTACACGTCTTATATAGCCCACCGGCTGACACAGGACGTTAAACTAGAATAATAATAATAATAATATCAATGCAACTGTTCAAGACAAATTCGTGCCTCCGTCCGCTGAAAATACAGTCACGATCCAAAAGTTCGCGACTCCTCGGTGTTCCCTCCCCAAACCCACACATCCCACTTCAAACTTCAGGAAAGAAATGTTTTACAAAAGATTTCGCATTCTTACTTGAAACTATTATTTCCTTACTCTTCTCTCTCCACTATTTACTAATTACAGGGAACCCTTCATGAAAACCCAACGTTGGGGTGTTAGATTCTAGCAGGCCTGCTAGGATATGATGTTTAGTCGACCTTAAGCTTTTGGGGCTTGCGCCTATCGACCATGAGCTTCCGTGGCTCGCGCCTATTGGCCTTCAGTTTCTGAGGTTCACGCTTATCGACCTTAAGTTTTTGGGGCTCCGCATTACGGCCCATGATACCTTCAAGACCCTCAACTGGCGCGGGAGCATTGCGGGCTGTTTTCTTGTTTTAGAATGGGCTGATTTTTCTTCCAGGGTTCTCTGCTCAAAACTATGGCTTACCTGCTCTAACAGGGTAGGAGGCGGCTGAAGTGGCCATGAAGGCCGCGGTCACGACGTCGAAAAATCTCATTGTTGTGGTGGTCGATATTCGTGGCTCAGACTGATGTTTGTTGCTGAATGTAAGATTGGCTTTTGTTGCTGAATGCAAGGCCGCGAACCCAATGATGGTGATGATGATATCTTTCAAATGTCTGGGTGGTGATGCCTCATATACCTCGCTGGCACCTCCATGGCCCTCAGGATACCATGAGCCTGCTAAATGTGTTGATGGCACGACGTTGTCATGCAGGCAGCACACGGCGGAGTTGTGCGCCAGGCCGTGTGCGAAATGCGGAGGAGGAGGCTGCTGTTGTCGGAATGCGAAAACGTTGGTACTAGAGTGGCCTCCGAAAGTTTGACCAGGCCAGGATGTCTCCTCCGGTCTTGGCAATTTTGTTCGGTGCCGTAGTAGTAAACACCGGCCATGACCAACCCTGACTACCATTGTCAGCCATCTGCCGTCAGTATGAGCTTACCTTTGACGACGCAAGTAACGATGACAATGTTCTCACTTAAAAGACATATCGGACGAACTTAGCCATGGTAAAAAGAAACGACGACACAAGTTTGCGCCAATGCAAGGAAGCTTTCCTCGACAGTCCTTGTCCATCGACATGACACAAGTAGACATGGAGATACAGGCGGGCAGCTCAAGAAGCAGCACCACGTTCGGGTGCTCTGAAGACCGAATGCCATCCATCAGCATGCGGAGACTGCTTGCCCTGACACTGCCTAACTTTGGGTGAGCAAATACCCCCTTTTGTAAGCAACCGACACAGCTGACACAGATGGCCAGCATCCAAGTGCTATGGTTCATCCTTATGTCATATGGTACACCATACATGACTGGCCTGGGCATACCCAATTCCATCACAACGCTCGTATGGGTCTCAGGGCCGCTCAGTGGTGCACTGATCCAGCCACTGTTCGCAGCCATGTCCGACAGCACTCAGCATCCATGGGGAAAGCGCAAACCATATATTGCTGGAGGTGCCAGCTTCGTTGCCCTCTCACTGTTGGGCCTAGCGTATGCTGAAGATATGTCGAACTGGCTTACGAGCACCTCGTCCTCACACAAGCACATGTCCGCCCCGGGCCCGCCAAAGGCTAGCGCTCTGACGAAGCTGATGGTGACCTTTTGGATATTTGCGTTGAACATGGCCATCCAGCCGCTACAAAACGGAGTGCACGCCCTCGCTGTTGACAACTGCCCCGCTCACCAGCAAGTCACGGCAGCAGCGTGGACTGCCCGCTTCAATGGTCTGGGCGCCGTGGCCATCTCAGCTTCTGCCTTTGCCGATGTCGAGGCGTGGGCGCCGATACTGAGTGAAACCAAATTAAAGGCGCTGTACATGCTAGCAGTGCTGGCACTGGGCGCCGCCATTACACCAGCATGCGTTTTGATACGCGACGAACCCAGTAAGGACATTGGCATGCACCGCGGAGCAGTGAGCATATTCGCACGGCTTTGGACGCTGGCTGGAAATCTGCCACCAGTTACAAGGCAGGTCTGCAAGGTGCAGTTCTGCGCCTTCACAGCTTGGTTCTCGGTGCTTTACTACTCGACCACCTACGTGTACCAGGTCTTCGTCATCGACCAGCACGTCCACCTCGACCCTGAGATTTTCGGTAGTGCAGACTCCCGCCTTGTGGACATAGGAAAGCAAGCCGGAACTCGTGCCTCGTTTGTTTTTGCCAGCATCACCTTCGCCTCGTCCCTGCTTCTACCGCTCATCGCCCGCTACTCCGCACGCCAACCCGCTTCCGGCCGTTCCATACCGACGGTTACAATATTCTCCCTGTCGCTTGGCCATGTTTGGTATCTTGCACATTGCTTGTTCGCCACTCTGATGTTTCTGACTTGCTTCGTCTACACCGTGCCTGCTGCCACTACCGTTGTCGGTATGCTTGGCATTGCCTGGTCCGTCGCCTCATGGGCTCCATACGCCCTCATCAGCACCGAAATTGCCACTATCAAGGCCCAGAGTGAGGGATTACATATGTCAACCGAGAAGAACACGGGAGCCACAGGGGCATGGGCGGATGAGACTACAGCAGGTATCATAGCCATTCATAACATGGCCATTTCCCTACCTCAGATTGGCGCCGCCTTGGGCTGCACTTTACTCTTCAAACTCGTGGAGATGTCGAAAAGGGACGACTCGGCTGCATTTGCTTTCAAGTTTGCTGGTATCATGGCGGTGGTAGCAGCTTGGATCGGCAGGACTTTGAGATAGCTCTTGAATCACCCCTGTATATAATTGCCAGATACTAACTATTCACCCATACTCTTGCCCACTTGGCATCACATATAAATGAATTCTTTGAAATAGCTAATCTATCCTACAACTGTTGTTTAAACCCTTCTGAATAATAACGAGAAAAGCGTAGCTGCAGGGAAATGCGGAGTGGACAGAAACGATCTTCCAACGTAAGCTAGTGCTACATGGGTTCGATGACTTTCATCCTGCAGGTTTTGCTATAATATATTCTGGTTGCTTGTTTTCTTCAATACATAATTTTACAGTCTTCATCCCGCAAAATGCCTGCACACGCCACAAATTATTCACTTACTCTGACACTTGGCGTACCAGACCTATCAAACGGAGAACAGTCACATCTAAAACGCCTTCTTACTTCACGCGAAGGACCTCACTAAATTATCTGTCCGTCATAGAAACATGCGCGGAGTATCCAAAGACATTTAACTAATAAACATACATGGGCGAGTGGTCACCTTACGCATTACACAACCCATGACATCAACACGCAGGATACAAAATCTCAACCCTCGTTATCACCTCATTCAACGGCACCGACGTATTCGCCAAAGTATCCAAGCAATGCTCCGTATGATGATACGTCACCAACGAACTCTCCATCTTCCATCCTCGCTCAATCGCACGATGCATCATCTTCCAACCGTAAATGCAATAGTAAATGTGGAAGCGGCGATCCGTTCACATGAATCCTGCAGTGTGAATAATGGCTTATAAAGACGGAATCTGTACTCTTTCCTCAGAAGCGGCTCGGGTCGCGTCGAGTTGCTGAGATAAAAGTTCCCGGGGCCTTCTTCCATGGATTTGGTGGTGAGTTCGCCGTCGTAGCACTCGAGTGGCAGCCACGATACCGTCATCATATTGAAGACGCAGCCTGCGGCCGCGGCCTCGGCAAGAGATCTGCCGCAAAGCTGGGTGGTACCGGCTTTGTAGCCGGAGGGCGCTTGTAGGGCTTCTGAGTGCTCCGCAGATGATGGTGCTGATGATGCGTCGCATGAGAGGCGAAGGTTTGAGAGTATGCGAGGTAATATCAGGATGAGGAGTAAAGAGATAGAAAGTAAGAGGACGAGGGTGATGCTAAAGGCAACTAGGCCCAGGGCTGTGGCGCTGAAGGCATATATGATTTTATCTATTATCCGAGATCTTGGTCGCTATTTGATGTCGTTATAGCTTTCGTTGCCGTGGAGTTGGGAGTACTTGGGTAAGCATGGAGTGCTTGATATTGCATGGAAAAATGATTGACTTTGAGGAAAATAGCAGGAAAGTATCCCTCGACGCGCATTCACGCATCGATTAAAGAAACATCACGCATATGGCATGTTTGTTACTGGTTAGGAACTGGCGATGACCGGATTTCTTCCAATTTTCGGAGAGACCGTCAGACGGACGTGAGGTGGCTTGATGTAGATCGAGACTTTACGCGAAGTCGGTGGCACTAGTAATAAATCACGGAGACTTTTGTCGGCCCACTACTTCTGGTTCTCGGAATTTTGACGGAGTCAAGCTTACTTGGTGCGTACTCAGCAGATCAACGCCGGTACTTGTACTACTAGTATGCCCTGTGCCCCCTCATTGCCCGGGTTCGTCTTACTGAGGCCCCGCCGAACACCAACGCCCGTCTCAACACTGCAACTTTGGCGATCCAATTGGAGCTTTACACCAACTAGCCATAAAGTCCCTGGATCTCAATCCTGTTGTTGATTCAACCATAGCTGGAACCAATCGATTATAATACCATAAGCCAAAACTACGGCGCTACATTCGCGTGAATTAATTTCGTCTCTCGTTCCGAACCAGTGCTCCGCTCCGGAAAAGTGCTGGTAGTCATACGCCACGCCTAAACTCGGAATCACCCTGTTAACAAACGCAGTTATCTCCGGCGAAGACATGAAGTCGTTCTCAGGCGCGAGGATCTGAACTGGCACACCCACTTGCTCTACTTCTGTCTCTTCCAACAATGACGGGTGTGCGGTTGAGATGCAGTTCACGAAGCCGTTGTTGCTCCTTGCGCCGAGGTTGAACACTGCCCATCCGCCCCAGCAGAACCTTATGGCGCCGACGCGGTTGTACTGGGATCGTAGTTGTGTTGCAAACCTGACAAGCTCAGGTTCTCGGGTTTCTTTTGAGTTGCGGCTGATGCACCTGGGCATGTCGATTTTGTACAGTTGCGACATATCCATTAGGATTTCCGTCGGAAGCACCTCGCCACCATTAATGCAACGCGTTCGCACGATTCGCACTATAGTCGATTTCAGAAAAGTATCGTGAAATGAATTTACAAGTCTGGTATGTACACTGTGGCATTTGCTTCTTTCACATACTGGTCAGCGAGAAGCCTGGCGTTCCGAAAACTCCAGCCGAATGCGTCATGTACTATTAAAATGAGAAGTTTCACTGATCCTATTTAGAAGCTCAAAAAGGGTGCTTGATTGCGACCTTCTCAAAGCTGATCCTCCCCTCGCCTGAAGCCTTAATCGCTTCGATTCCCTCCTTGAACCCTTCGATCACTCTCAGATTTGGAATTTGAAAGCGTTCACCGTAGTTTTCAGCTGCCCAAGAGACGGCTTCAACCAAGCGTGACTCCCATTCCTGGTTTGCGGTGATGGAGCCTATGGGTGGAGGCAGGTTCATGTCCCAGGCTCGAGCGGCCAAACACCACACCCACTTATTTGTGTCACTGCGTACCGGCAAAGTCCCGGTGAAAATAGCGTCCGGTGCAGTGTTTAGTGTATCGCACCTTGACGTCGAGGATGCTAGTCCCTTTGTACATACTGAGTCGAAGATGAACTTTAACGGTTGACCGGATTGATCAATAGCACTCTGGATCTTTGCGAACACATCATCATCCCGGTAATCGAAGCAGTGTGTTGCACCCAATCCCTTCAGTGCTTGATGGCGAGAAGAAGATGCTGTAATGATGATAGGGCTGACACCTGCAGCTTTGGCAAGCTGTATTGCTGCCCAGCCCACTGCACTACCGCCTCCCCAGATCAGAATGCCCCTCTTAGTTGGCATTCCTGATGCCTTGATCTCGGCAAAAGGTATTCCTAAGACATTAAACAAGACATCGGCGGCAGTCCTCACCACGATTGACGTCACCGCCGCAGCCTGTTTTGGAAGTGTGAATGGCCGTTTAGCAATCAACGAATTTCCCTCAGCAAGCAGCCAATCTTGATGCGCTCCGAATTTCGAACCTAATTCTATCTTCTTTGAGCCAAAGATCTCATCTCCGACTACGTAAGGAAATCCGGTTCCAGCCTTAACAACTTTTCCACTGAACTCGTAACCACAAACGTGGTCGTTCATCTTGAAGTCGATCCCGTGCTTCAGATCAGCAGGATTGATGCCAGAATAATGCACCTGGATCAGGCCTTGGTTATCAGCAGGCTCATAGAGATCGTCGTATTCCGTAGAAAACAACTCGTCTTCTGGTCCAATGTATATCGCTTTGTTGGGGGAGGTCATTGTTAAAATGGTTCTGATGCAAACAAGAAACAGAAAAAAGGTATTGAGCCTGGTGTTCACGAACAAAGGGCAATATATAAGCTATTATGGCCACCGATAGCGCTGATCTTGAGCAAGAAACCGGGTAGCTGGGTACATGTGATTACATTTTGGATGAGTACGTAATCCTCCGCCGGCAACAAGATGCTGGTCCCGAGCGGGGGGTCCCGGCGGGGGTGACTAAGGTCCTAATCCATGAAGCCGACCGTGCATCGAAATATTGCATCATGCAATTAGCTTCAATCATCTCAGATACACAGTATTGTGAATTGGATTTTCGACTTAATCTTCAGTATTGACGCATTCCCCATCATTGTCTGAAAAAGATTACATTGACTACACGAAAAAAAGATATGCCGTTACAATCTACCACCGAAGGCGTCAAGCCTGGGGACATAGGTGCAGAGTGCAACATTATTATTGCGGGAGCAGGTCCTGTTGGCTTACTGCTCGCTCTCCTCCTTGCTCGGAAAGGCATACGTTCCAAGGTGTTTGAGAAGAGTGCGGAGCTGGATACCTCTCCTCGAGCGGCTCTATACTACCCGCTTGTTCTCGAAGTCTTCAAGGACGCCGGAATCTACGATATTGTTCTCCAACTTGGTAGTCATTCAGGTGGCCCTATGTGGCGTAAACGCGTCATCGACGACGGTAACGGCGGGAAAGCCTTGGGACCGGCGATAGCAGGGCTGGAGATGTCCAAATGGGGAGATGACGGATGTTTCGAAGAGGGAAAATTCGCCGTTATCCTTGTGCAAGGACTCTTGGTCCAGGTGCTGTTGGAAGAAGTCACCAAAACAAATCTTGTCGAGGTTCACTTTAATACGCCTATCGAGGGATTTGAGCAAGATCAATGTGGCGTCACCGTCAAAGTTGAAGCTTTTAGAGAGCCTCAAACATTCAGGTCGCAGTATCTGGTAGGCTGCGATGGCGCCAGATCGACGATCCGCAAATTACTGGGGGTTGGCTTCAGTGGGCATTCGTGGCCTGAGAGACTCATTGCTACAGATGTGCGGCGCACTATACCCAAGCTCGAAAGACTTCCAGCTCACTTCGTGGTCGACAAAGTCCATTGGGGGGTGGTCCTACCACTTGAGGAGATCGTGCCCGGGAAACCTGGGCTGTGGCGCTACGCGATGGCCGTTCCTGACGAAACATTGACTAATGAGGAGATAGAGGATCCTAAATACGTACATAAACTTCTCCTCAAGTATCTGGATGGTCCACAGCCTGCCGAGTATACCTTAGTCCGCTATCGTGCTTATCGACTGCACCAGCTCCTGGCAAGTACCATGCATCGAAACAGAGTCCTTCTCGCTGGCGATGCGGCGCATGTTAACAATCCTGTTGGTGGACTTGGGTTATGTACCGGTTTGCTGGATGTTGACCTTCTCTATCAGGCATTTGATCTGATAATCAACCACAATTATCATGATCCTCAAGACTTGCTGGCAGAGTACTCGGCAGCTCGACGGTGTGTATTCCAGACGCTTGTGAGCCCAATAAGCAGTGCGAACAAACTCCGACTGCACGAAAGTGATCCAGACGATGCCGCCCGTGAGGATTGGTTTCTTCGGATCTTACGGAGAGGCATCCCACAGGAGATAGGTAAGGCGCACTCGCCGCTCCAGCAGGCCTGGAGGACTGACATTCGTTCAATCACCAAGGAGCCAGTTACCACTCAAGCTTGATTTGTCAATAGTGGCGGACTACTGGCTAGGAGATTGCAGGCCCTCTTGTAACACATATGGAGAAGCCAAAAGTGAATGGTTTTGAGATACGCAGGGCGTACAGGGCATACTTGAGATATAACTGCTTCTTCACTACATGTATATCGTTGTACATGTGTATATAGGAACAAGGAGCATTTTACACTCTCTAAAACCTAGCGAGCAATATTTGTTAAATAAAACTGCCAGATTTGACTATGTAGGGGCCGTGAGATTGAAGAGCACTGTGAAATCATAGCGGAGCCCACCGGTCCACGCCTTGCAAGGGCATTGTAGGGTCTCGGACTGCTGAAGCCGGATTTGGGCATAGTTGTTATTTGGATACACCCGAGTGGGGGATAATACAGCTAGCTAACACTAACGACAAGTGGCCATGCTATACGCATTCCGAGACCGCTGCCGGATGACGCGGAGGGGGGGGGGGGGGGGACTTGGGACCCGCCGCCTCGCAGAATGAGGCGAATAGATAGCTCCGTAGATGTCACTCGAGAGAAAATCTTGCTTCGCACTGGAGTGGGCGGTTGGGACTAGATGCTCCCGGCGAGGGAGGACTGTCGGCACCCCCACATGAACTCGGGATTTCCACATAATGATGTATTGCAGTGAAGTGGCATTTAATAGAGAATATATATACAAACAACGGACTGGCTCCTATCCCTTTTTTTCTACTATACATCAAATACACAAGCGGTGATGCTACCAACGACTACAGGCGAGCCTACCATCCGGCAGCTCTTCGAGCATGCCCAGATTCGGACACTGCGTAATGCCTTCATCATCGCACCAATCCTCTACGCAGCGTTCTATCTAATCCACACCCTATTCATCCCCCGCCAGCGCAAGATCCCCGGACCATTCCTCGCACGAATAACAGGATTATGGGAGCTAAAAAAGGTGGTAGATGGAGATCTCCACAAAACAATGGTCAAGCTGCACGAGCAATACGGTAAAATCCCTTACCCACAACCCTAGGACATGTAGCACCGTTTAGAAAGCCCCCCGTTTGGCAGAAATTAATGGTATTGAGCATGCTAGGTCCCATCGTACGCGTTGCGCTGAATCGCTACGACTTCAACACGCTAGAAGCAACAAGAACCATATACCGGATCGGCAACGCGTTTCCAAAGTCAAAATACTATGTCCCGTTCGGCTCGCAACATGGCCCGAATCTGCTGAATGAGCTCGAAAATGGGCCGCATGGTGCGATGAAGAGACAGCTCGCGTCGCTGTATTCCATGTGGACGTTGCTGTCTTATGAAGCCACCGTGGACAACCAGACGGCCATCATGAGGCAGAAGCTGGAGAATTTTGCTGCGACGGGCGAGTTGGTGGATATACCCCAATTCTTTCAGTACTACGCTTTCGATGTGATTGGCATGATTACTGTGAGTTGCGCGACACCCCCTCTTTTGTTACACAAGGTTGTTACTATTGGGTAATAATCGCACTGACGCTAATCCGCATTTCTGTCTATCTAGCTTGGTAGTTCCATGGGCATGATGGAGGCGAATACAGATGTCAACGGCATCTGTGCCGCGCTTGATGCCGCCTTTCACTACACATCTATGACGGGGCTCTTTCCAAGCCTCCATCCATGGCTGATTTCTCTGACGCGAGTGCTTTGCTTGCCGATTCCTACATCTCGAGTAGACGATTTCGTTACGGAGAAGATGGCGCTGCACTTGGACGAGGCTGCGCAAGTCGATGGATCCAAGAAGGGGGCAACATTCCTGTCAAAGATGCTTGCGTTGCGGAATCAAGGCAAAGTTACCGACAGAGATGTTCACGTCTGTATAAGCATGAACATTGCAGCGGGCTCCGACACGACAGCCATTAGTTTGAGCTCCATCGTATACTACTTATATACTAACCCCAAGGTACTGGAGAGCCTTCGATATGAGCTGGATGCTCAGTCGAAAGCCGGAAGACTGTCGGATATGACGACTTACCAAGAAGCTCAGGAAATACCGTATCTTCTAGCTGTTATCAAGGAGGCTCTGCGGCTTCACTCCGCTGTTGGCACACAACTGACACGCGTGGTGCCCAAGGGCGGTTGCGTCATAGAAGGACATCATTTTCCTGAGGGGGTAAGTAGCATGATGATACTCAAAAGCTCTGCATCTGCACATCATATTAGAATCGCTCGCTGATTTTTCTCTGAGTTTTTAGGCAGAGGTTGGAGTTAATAGTTGGGCACTTCATTACAACAAAGAGATGTTTGGCGAGGACGTCTATGCATTCAGGCCTGAACGTTGGCTTGAAGGCGATAAGACGAACATCGGGTTACCGGAATCCTTTGCAGTAAGTCAAGGCTCGCTATCTTATGATTCCTACGACCTTTTCTCTGTACTGATTTACTTCGTAGTTCGGTCAAGGTTCCCGTTCCTGCATCGGCAAAAACATCAGCATCCTGGAAATGTCTAAAGCTATCCCACAGGTAGTGCAGAACTTCGATATCGATATTTCCACTACGAGCACCCAAGCTTGGTCAACCAAATGTCGTTGGTTCGTGAAGCCAGATTATAAAGCCCTGCTGAGACGTCGAGCAAAATGAGGGGAAATGATTTGAACTTTGAGAAGGTATGAACTTTGGGGGTAGAAAGTCTACGTTTACTCCTCAAAAGCACAATGCAGCCAATTGTTTGCTGTGCAACCCATATAAATGCTCTCTTTTTCCTCCCCCATGATTTAAAGTAATATTCCTTGGACTCCATGCTCTAAAATTGCCGACGTTGCACCAACTCTGTAGCTTGGCCAAGCTTCCCAATAAGACGCATCAGGTTGCCGACTAAGTTGGGACAATCTTGATAATCAGTCAAATACTTCTCAGATAACAAATCCTGGAAGACAGCCATAATTTCAGGCTGACGTATGACTTCAATAGTCGTATTCTCCACGCCGTTCGTTCCTTGACGACCATGCGTAATGCAGGGCTTTCCAAACCCCGACACTAAAAATTGTTGCACAACTGGAGTATGATCGCCGTCTAATACTACCTCTGTCTCCTTAGACAATGCCTCTGGGGATCTATGCTTCAGCTGCGAACTGCAATCTGTAGAGTTATCCGATAGTTGTGCCTTAGAAATTATTGAGTATGACCACAAAATCAGGCTAGCGTGATAGATCGCAAGAACTGTGGACACTCTTAATGTGGGATCGCCATTGCGACGTGCTTCTCGCAAGATCTGACCAGCATGCCACATGGCTTGTCGGCAAGATCGACTTTCAGCCCACTCTTTGAGTCGTGGGAAGACACGGCGTGCTTCGCGCTCACCATACTTTCCGCCAAGCAATTGCAGATCTTCGAGAAAGACATGAAGGTACATAAGCTGCCGCTCGTGTAGAACGACAAGGGAAGGGTCCATCGGACCAAGCCACTGCATGTGTACGGTCGCAAAGGACTCTAATGATTCTTTCGCTTCTTGATAGAGTGCTTGAGTGCTGAATATATGCTTGTTTTGCGTGGCACCTGGTGTTATGCCACGGGCCTTCAGGCGCTCCTTGTACTGCCATGTATTCGACCATAGACCACAGAGTGCCACTAGAGCTGTGTATCTAGTGTCCACAGAGTTTCCAAGGGAAGACAGATTGTTGAGGTCTTCGATACAAGTGCGAATTGACAACTGTGGTGGGTGACCAAGGCTGAGCCAGGCTGCCCGCCACGCCTCAGCTGAGGGCGCATTCCAAATTGCTTGCGCTACTGGCAAGCCAGTGTGCATCTCAGTGTTTGTTAGTGGGGGTGGTGCCAGGAATGTCATGGAGTACTGGGTGCTGAGTATGAGCAGATGTAAAACAAGTCTATGTCGAATTTTAACGTCCGTAGGTGGTTAAGGCAAAGCTGATAGCGCTCAAAGATGGAAGATTGGGCTAAAGTTTCTTTGCTTACCTTTTTTTAGATTCATAGTCAACCCACGCATGCCATTTCTCTTTCAGATCAAGATCGTTGTCGTACGTCTGTGGCGATATGCCTTCGGGATACGGAAATCGTAGATAATCCCCCCTCCTTAACATCTATATTACTTTTCTATCAACAGAATTCCCTAGGTCTGGCTGAAATCTTACAATAAATGGCATATTGAAGAGGCTCTCACTGATTTCGATTCGCCGACTATCCCCACTCCACAGCCCGGCTTGAATCAAAAGCACATAGGACTGGAAAGGGTCAAGCAATCGAGCATTGCGGACATCACGGCGAAACTGTCGCGAAATAAGGTTGATGTTCGTTAACATTATGGCTCAATAAATTGTTTTCGGAGGTTACGTACCAAACGAGCGATCAGCTCTCGATGAAGCTCGTGTAAAGCAAGAGCAAATTTCAGAAACACAACGTTGACGGACCGGAAAGCACCGGTAACGATAAGGCCAATGACTAATTCCGTGGATGCAGTGTTCGGGTCAAAGCTTGGAACATGAAGCCATGAGTCTGCTTCCTGGCTGTGTTCCGCAAGTTCCATGGACAGCAGGTGTTCCAGGACTCTGATAGATGGAAAAGATGAAAGAAGGCGGTGGTGATTTGCAGAGTCTGCAAGAGGCAACATTGAGCTGAGGATGCTATATCGCGTAGACTGCTCGAGGTGCACAAGAATATGCTGTTGAAAATCATTAGACACACAAACGGACATCATTTCATCTAAAGCGGGAAAGAGATCTGCGGTTTTAGTGAACCAATCTTCGCCTTCTTTCGGCGTCCAGAGAAGGAAAGATTGTGGTCAGCTTCTGAAATGTCGTCTCTCTCTAGTAGCGCTGCGGATGAAGCCTGGGTTTCCAAGGCGCCAAAATCGAGGATATCCAGATGGAACGCATCCCACGACCATCCTAACTCATTCGCAGGAATGTCTGGCAAGCTTGAACAGCCAATTTGGGAGGAGAAACCAGTGGAAGAAGGTTGCTGAAGTTCAATATTGTTTGGGCCGAGTATGCTGTTTTCTTGTCCGATTGTGAAACCTGTGCCGCTGGTCAGTATATCTACCGGTGAATCGAAAATGACACAGTCAAGTGTCAACCAATGACGGAAATCCGACGGCAGGGAAGAAAAAAAGCGAAATGAGCAAGCTAACGGCCAAATCAATGAGATGGGATGAAGATGCTGCCTTGCCTTTGCCAAAAGATATTGGAGTGATGGCTCGGTTTGCTGGGCTATCCTGTAGTTCTTGGAACATCTGTCCAGAAGCTACTTGCATTTCGGTAGGATTTACAGTGTCGACCAGACCCGAAATTGAGTGATTATCATTATCCATACGATTTACAGGCGGGGTGGACGTTGACTGAAGTTCGCGATTGGTTGAACCTGAAAACACAACTATTTCAGAGGGTGGTGTGGTAGGCTGCGACTTGTCGATTGAACATGGTGACTTCCGACGCGTGCTCTGTTCTGGGCGTGATTTTTGAGGGAAACGGCAGGGCAAACCTCGTTCGACACATCGCCTGCACGGTTTTCCTCCTTCACAACGTAATTTCGATTCAGCACACGAAAAGCAGGCTTTCGCAGCCCGCTGGCGGTGACTTCCTGGCACTGTACCACCGGCAGGTGAGCCAACAAATTTATGGATATTCATGTGTCGTTTGAGAGTATCACTAAGTCACCTCATGAGTCAAATGGCACAGTTACTGGGAGCCCTAATATAGGGGGACAAGTGGAAGTGAGAAAGGTACCAACTCACGGTCTTGAAAACGATTTAGGGCATAGCGGACAGCTGATTGATCTTTGCTCGGTATCTACGATTTAGAAATAGTGTTAGCGTTTGTAAAGTAGCCAATACTAGAGTGGTTTCGTACGTCTCCGGAAATGGCGAGCTAGATGATCGATTCGAGAATAGCAGCTCTTGCAGATATCGCAGACAAAGGGATTCGATTTGGCTGTGCTGGGCACTGCTTGTTGCGCAGAACCGGCCACATGTTCCTCTGATGCTTGATAACTTGCGTCAACGGTATTACCAGAGGCCGCTGAATCGGCCGAGCCGGTGCTCATAGTAAATGTGATCTTTTCGATATGTTGCGCAGGAGATTGTTGGTGCCCAGTCGTCCAAATGTTTCTTGGTAGCAGGATGTATAAGAAGAAACTTCATGCCGAAGACGTGTTTGTAGTAGCCACTATGAGAGTATTGGACGGGGAAGGGATCCGCGGGAAGCGTTAAATGCGGGGTACATAGCATCTTGTGCGTGGGGCTACAGCTTGGCGCCGAATTAAGATTGGATAAAAAGCTCCGTCTCCTCTCTGGGGCAAGCAGACGGAGTACACATACGTATGCGTAGCAGCAAAATAGGGTCCGGCTCATCAGAGCAGGTATTGAGTCCGTACGAGTAAGTCTCTCTCCAGAGAACCAATGAAACCTTCTAAGCCGGTGTCCAAGACCGCTACGAAGCTTGTCATTTCAGAACGGGGAACAAAGGACCCATTTGGTGACATGAATAGTCTATACTGTAGCAGTCGGTAAGCCCGGACGACCAAGCTAACAACATGCGGGCCTCGTTTGCTTTAATTCTCTGTGACCAGGCAGGACCGGCCCGCCTAAAGCTTTGTGATTATGATAGCAGGTACTAGGCATGATTCAGCTGCTATGACGTCTCGCACAGAATCTGCTATCAAGTCAAAAGTCAAAAGGGAAGGTAGTTTCAAAGTCATCTAGATGATGCGCGACATATTTACCGGAGGCCGAATCTTCCAAGGGTCCGGCCAGTGCCGCCCGAGCATCGGCCTGATGAGGCTGCCTTGCACGTGCCGGCGCCCCCATCGGGCCATTCATTCTGCCCGTGATTCTATTCATTTTCCGGGTCGCGGTTTGGCTAGTTTCGCTAGTCTAGCCAATCTGGCTGCCCTGGTAGAGGTTCTGCCGTGGTTCTGCCGTCCGTTACGACAGAGCTGTTTTCTTTGTTTCTTGATTCATCTACAAGATTGATTTCTTTTAACTTCAGGAAACCGACCACGTACCTAATGCCTCTCGCAACTCTTGCATAGGGCTAACTTTTAATTTCCTCTTATAGTCAGCTCTGTAGCCAGTTCTATTGCTGGTCAGGTGAATAGAGATTTTAAGGTTTGCTACGTGACAAGGCGCTTTCCCGATATAGCAATCCCGAACATATTGGCACTGCTAATGTCTATAGAGATCCTCTGAGCTAATTAGATTGCATTTTCTTTCTGCTCGAACTCTCCGGGGACGGATCGTGATATGCAGCTATACAGCTGCGATAAGCAGTAGACGAAGCCTGTTTTAGTACTCAAACTCTATTTATTGGTAACGCTGTTTTGCGGCCCCAAGACCTACGTTTTTCCAAACATGACGCTGCTTCTGTTATCATTATCTACACGAGCCTACATTGTTAATACATCAGATCTAGCAGTCATACAACGGATTTCTACCGAATGAGCTCTTATTCCGAGCTGACTGTAAAACATATCTATCATACCTGGTTGACATCCATGTATGATCTTTTAGGGTGACAGGCTGTAGCATGTTTCACCTACAGCAGGATCAACCGCGGGAGCGATTGCGGCAATTCGGCCCAATCGCACAGCTTCTCAAGTCTAACAAGTTAATCTTGCCATTTCTAACGGTCCCGTCGATTGCATGGGTTCTTAAGCTGAGCTTCGGTGCATTACCTGCATTTTCCAGGGCAGCTCCTTGTGTCACGCAATCAGGAATAATGGGCACGGATTTTACAGCTTCGCCATCAGCTTCCTTGGGAGGCAACATCGAAACGTAAGCTATATGAACACTTCATCATCTCTCAAGAAGACCGTACACTAAAACAAGTCATAGAAATTCTATGAGACATACCGAAGACATGGACTACGGACAAACACGTGCAGTAATGCAAGAGAGACCTACTTCTCCTAACGAGCAAGCGTGCAAGTGCAAATGCTCTCAAGTCGCGCTAGCCTGCCTAGACAAAATCTCCGTCGTGCCTTCTGAAGCCCGTTACATGGACCGTCTCCACATCATCCAGTCCGCTCTCATGACCGCAGAGCGGCTAGTTCTCTGCACAGACTGCCCACCAAACATGACCATTGCAAGATGTTGCTTCATCCTGGGAAACACGCATGAGCTGGTGAGTGATGTGAGTGCCCACGCAGGAGACGCATCCAGCCCTCCCACCACCATGCTCTCCCGCCAATCAATAGAATACATGAGGCGCATCAAGCGCCGTGCTAGCATGCTTCTTGCGGGGTTGAAAGCGTTGCAAGAATTTGGGTCCGGGGATCGGCGTCTTTCAAATATGCAGTCTGAGTTTCTATCAGTGCTTGCAAGTTCTTGGCTTGTGCTACTACCAGATTATCGAGATTGAAAAACAATATTACAAATTTAAAATCTCAAACCACTGAAATTCAAACAAATATGTTACATTACGATTTTTTTTCTCTTCTCATGGAATGGGTTTGGGCTGCCGAATAAGGATGGTGGTTGTGTAAGGCTTTGACCATCCATATTGCGGGCGCTCCTGTTGCACCAATTTGACTAGTTGGAAGCCGTGGTCTTGGTAAAGCTTGACACCTGGGGTTTTGGCAACAACAATCGTCTTAAGACTGTTTCTGTCCGCGTATGCCAGGCCTTCAGCGAGCAACATGGAGCCGATGCCACGTCTCTGGTGCTCCGGATGTGTAGCCAGATAATCCAATGCTTCGAGGTAATTAGTCCAAGTAAAATGTCCAAGATTATGTTGGAAAGTTCACCGAGAAACTCATCCCCAGTGGACAGCGCTTCGGCTTCTGCTTTCTCTATTGCCTCGCTCAGCTCGTCCACCATCTGATGGTCAATGCCACGGATTGTCCCGTCTTCAGTTACGTTCTGGAACGATTGTTCATATGCTTGACGTTTTTCCAAATCATCCTCGAGCACTATGCCATTGGCCCACGTATCAGCATGTCCATCGGGGATAATCCAACGCGCATAACCAACAGCATTCCCGGTAGCTTCGTCTGCAACCTTGCGGTGACGCTTAGTGGATGTCACTTTGACAAGGTTCCATGGCAAACGCCTTGCGCAATCATAGATGATGTTTTCCAGCGTTATTCTCTTCCATAGAGACGCCCAATGTGCATCTTGGTAAAATGCGCGCATCATGGAGTCAGCCAGACCTGTTGAGTCGGTGGGCTTCACTGGATGGATCGTGTAGATCTGGAGGCAAAAGATTAGCAAGAGATGACAGCAGAGACTAGTACTTGCAACCTGCCATTTTTGTAAAGATGTGCAGATTATGTTCGCCGATGAGTAAAACTTTGCTGAGTGGAACAACTGGGTGGGCGTCACAGGTCAGGGGTGTAGGAAAGGTCTAGCAGGTGGTGTCGTTGAGCGCCAAACTTTCTCGCTTTCCAAATCCATATTATGTACTTAACAGTCCTCCTGCATGCTACTCTTTATCCTTCAAGTGTTCCTGCATAATTCTTTGCATAACCACCCCTCGTTTGGGTCGTTGGCTAAACTATCATTCAGGAGAATGACTCCTGCTTGTCATTCAAGGTTTTTGCGGTTACTTGAGTTGCATCGCGTGGATTTTCCGGCCCGAACCATGCATGGGCCGATCTTCACGCCGGAGGGGGAATGTCAAACAACAACTTCGGAGCCGAAAATGAACCTCCGAAAACTTCAAGGCTCCGCAACAACTATGGAGCGGCGTGTGTTCGCTTCCAGAGAGCACGCGCTCAGCGCCACACAATCGCGTTACTCAGTGATTTAGAATATGATGATAGTGATCTTGCATTGTATATAACATGTGACACAACCACTACTACTAAAGAAAGAGTATCATCCAAACCGCTATATGCGCCCACTCACATCTAACCAACCTTATTCCTCGCTCAAACATTGACGAATTAAGTAACCGACATGTTACCCACAATCATAGGCAAGATGTCTCGCTGTAAGTTTTGGAAGCCGCCCTTCTTCCCCCCCCCCCTGCACCCCCAAAACCCAATTTCCAACTTGAGAAGCAGTAAGCTTCCCCTCCTCAAAGACACAAATTTATCCAATCCAGAACATCAAAACCCGCCATACAGCGCTAGCAACGAAGACAAGCCTTTCCTCCCAACCGCACATGAGAGAGAAGATTATACCTCTCCAGCCGCCAGCCGGCCCCGCTCACGCCTCTGCTCCGCCCTCATCGTCGCTTCTACATCGCTAACCCTCGGCCTCCTTGCCTTGATCCTCATCGTCGCTCAGCACCGCCACCCAACAAGCGCCGTCTCACTCTGGGCCACCTACCAAGGCGGCTCCACCGTCGTCGAGCACTGCGGCAGCTCACCACAAGGAGCCCAAGCACTCGGCTGCACCTGGGACCTCATGAGCTACGGCTGGGTGCACCCGCGCTGCGTCAAGCCCGACGAGTCGCAAATGTGGATCCAGAAGCACGGGCCCTGGAAGTGGTACTACGACGGGAATGCTACGCAGGAGATTCCTCTAGAGGACCTGCCGATGACAGTGCGCGCCCATACCGAGTAAGGTTACCATGTTATACATTGTTTGTATACGCTCAAACTGATGCATTTGGCGGGTATGAGTGGCCATCTTGTTACCGATGAGGCGATTGCCCTGGCGCATACGCAGCATTGTGTGGGTGTGATTGCGTCATCCGAGAATACGAATACTAAGCAGATTAATACGGCTGTGGATATGCTGTTTGCGCGGTGTGTGACGCTTAATTAGATTGACGGTTTCACTCGTGTTTGAACTGGAGGGGAAAAAAAGAGCATGAGATTTTGTCAGTAGTAGTGAAGTTGCAGTTACCAAAGTCGAACTTTTATCTTGGAATTATATGAGCGCATCAATATCGAGTTGATAATCACACCATCCTTAGGTGTGAACTTGATCAACATTGAGTATGTATTGATAATTAAACAGAAACAGTGAGAATCGTATCTAAACCTCACTTCCACCATCTTGCTGCTCCTCATCACCCGGCTTATGGCCATGCCCTTCAATGTCCTCCATATCCTCATCCATACCGGGCCAGAGCACTCTCTTCTGCAGCACACCCTTCACATTAAGCACTGCCACCCAAAACCATAGTATAACAAGTATAATAGTCATAGCACTACATACCCCCTTGATTCCGGGGCTGTCCAGGGCTTTCGCAATCCAAATAAGCGCAATCGTCATTCCGGCGTTGGGGAAAATGAAACCCCAATGGTTGAGTGTAAAGTGCGAATCTTTGGCGCTAATGATGATGCTGACAGTAGCAATTGCACTGAACCAGAAGGAAATGAGCCAGAAGAAGATGCCTACTATGACGCCGAATGCTTTAATTGCGTCGCCAACAGGGAAGGATGTGATGGCGAGGAAGTTGGAGGGTAGATGTCTTGGAGCCTCAATGCCGAGCGCGACGCATGCATTGGCAGTGTAAGCTGCTGGACCGACAGCAACGTACATGCCAGGTCGCTTCGGGACCTCAGGAAGATTGCTGTTGACGAGGCGAGTGAAGTAGAGGGTGAGCATCAGAAATGCAATCGTCCAGCCAAGCCCCTGAAACGCGATGCTGCCAATGAATATCTTATAACCTGCATCAGGAGGCTGGCTCTTCAACAAAGTACTGCCCAGAACACCCAAGATAAGGAAGGGGTAAATTGGTAAGATCCACGAGGGCATGGCGTCGGCGACGGGAAGTTCTCTTCGGTCAAAGATGACGTGGTACTGAAAGACGGCGACAAGGATGACAATGGCAGTGTAGAGCCAGTAGAGTATCTCCAGTGCCTTGACTAGCCATGGCCCGCTCGAGGGAACACCATAAAGCTCCATACAGTAGATGATCAACGCAATACTGACAAAGTATGCGCCGAAGAAGAAGCTTTCGTAAGGGTGATGTAAGCTGAGTTTCAGCGATCCACGGTTGTGTATGAAGCGGTAGGAGATGCACGCGGTGAATATGAGGAATAAGACGATATCTAGTATGTAAAATATCTTCCCTATTGTCTTCAGGCCAGAGAAGCTGTACGGTTGTTGGCCAAGTAGCGTGGCAAGCGCACCGGTTGACATTGTGCATTCGAACCAAGACCAGCTAAAGTGATCAAGACGCTTTTTCCATGGTAGATGTGTGGGGTTGTAGTCTTCTCGTTGTGCTGGCCGGGTACGCCGTTTGATAGGGCGAGGAAGTGAGTGTGAAGGCATGCTGGTGGTCGTGTCACTAAGGGCACTGTTGACAGTGAGGTTGTAACAACAATCCAGTCGCAGACTGGCAAAGCAATTGATCCAAACTCAACAAAGTGCAGCGACGAGACAGACTTGTGTTATGTTAATTGCCAAGGATTCCGCTACTGCTGGGCGAAGCAAATGCCATGATTTCTTGACGTCAAATTGGCATTCCATCGTTCGAAGCCAAGAAAATGTTTAAGATAAAGGTGTCATAATCTTAGGGAGGTCGACTTGGAACCCTGAAGAAGTATGGCTTTCGTAGATCGCGGTGAAGGTCGAGCGAATTAAGCAGTGTCACCCCTGCATCATCGAGCCTCATAGATCTTCGTGCAACGGGATGACAACCTTCTGCGTATTTCTTGAAATCCATGTCCTACGGGTTATTCACAGGCTGGGCTGCGATAGGCTCAGCTGCGACGATCGTAGTTATAGTGCTGCCGCGGCAGGTGATGTGTCAATGACGTAACGCTCGCGACAGCGAAACACCATCCTTCATCGTCTTCTTGTGAGGTTTCATTGAAGGAATTAATATGGGGAGATTGCTTATTTTCTCTGCGTGTGGGTACTTCCAATGATGCTTAATTTGCTTGCCCGCCACAACATCCTCCAGCCGTGAGAATGCGCAATGTCTGCATGAATGATGTTGTCATGTGACATTCTTTATAGTACGCCTATTGCTATATAAATTGGTAATGGATACCTTAGATTTCCTTGAGAAGTTTGATAGTATCCAGAAAGCCATCGTAATCTGATACATGGGCGATAATATCGTCTTTGGCTGGACTAAGGCCATTTGAACCATTAGACTTTTACAGCAACCCTACGAGAACGCTCAACCGACACTGAGAGTTTCTATTCATTCTTGTGGAATATCCCTTTTTTGGAATGGTACTCAGTTCAAAATTATCGATGGAAATAGCTACAAACCTGATCGCGAAATTTTGACTGAATGTTGAGATCACGGTCCGCCTTGGCGAATGGCAGTGAGTTAGTAGAAGTAGAAAATCCCGTTGTCGTTGTACAAAATTGTGAGAAGAAAGTCTGAACTTTTCTGGAAGACAATGGTACTTTCCAACGTTGCGACAGTCTCATGTGGGTAAGTTAATATTATCAGCTCCGTGCCAGTTACCGGCCTACTCGACATCTAACAAGAATGGGAAAGGCGTATCATCCTAGAGGCAGATACAAAGTCACCCTATGCAATGAGTCGTATTCGCTACATTTGTGTGGGTTTTGGGAAGTCTATCTTTTCACATACTCAGTATGGAATCTTGTTACTAGAACGGTTGATAACGCCTACGCGCAAAGCCGCTGCTAATCTTCTTGAATGCGTGGATGGTGATTGATATAGCGCTGCATTCATTTCCTTTATGAAATTCGCATTTCACAAATCCCAAGACTCGAGGTTGTTACGCAAGTTCTTGGACGATCCCACATTAGTGTTAGCAAGACCAAAATTCCCTGGGCATCTTAGTTGTTCTACTAGACCCCCAGGGCCGAGGAGCAAAACTAGGATTCCGCGGAATTTTCCTTGTTGGTGACGCGATGCCCATGGCATGAACCACAAAGTGTGTTTTAAGATGTTTTTGCACGTCATCCCGACTATTCTCGGAAGCAATAGGGTTTCTCGTTACCATGATGTTTGCGATACATTCCGCAGCTGAGAAACTCTCTCGTATGCGCCACCCAGGCTTCAAAGCTAACCTTGATGTATTGGCAAAGGAAGATTGAACTCCATGTGACCAAGGTAGCACTACAATGTGTTGAGCACGGCCATCTAACATATAACTCGGTCCCTTAAGAACATCGTGACATGTCAAGTTACACAAACAAAGTGCCTGACAGCAAACCTCGTATGCGCGACCGTTTGACCCAAAAAGCCCATGAGACAGCATATACGATTTGACTATGAGTCCAAGAACCCGGTCCCGGGATTCATCAATTTCTATAAATAATCTAAAATCGATGCGTTGGCAAACCAACCACCCAATAGCTTTTTCATCGTAAAATTTATCATTTATCTGGGCAATTTCCCCGTACATATGCACCACTGACACCCCAAATCGCGTCTAAGCTAGCCACACCATTTATCAGCCAACGCAAGCCCCTCAGAAACAATGGAACTTTTGATCTGGCGAATCACAACCGCAACTCAAGCGAGCTGCGATACGAAAAGAATCGCGTGCCAGTTCATTATCCCCAAGCCCGAAGAAAAGCGGAATCAGACGACACAGGACCTTCGTATTATGTATGGTACATATCGTTTCTTCCAGGGCCACCCACACACTTTAATATCGATGATAACCGCATTCGCTGTTAACGCCCAGGGGTGTGTGTGTGGCTGGAAAGTACCGTTTATGCAGGGTAATATATAGTTATACGCATGTAACCCTCACATATCAGGCTGTTTTTCATTCTTATTTGCTTGATTGCGCAGGCGCAACGGTTCGTGCGTGGTGCAACGTCTGATGGGCCCATACTCACGGTGATAGCGATAGCGAGTTGGGTAGCCAAGTCAAGGCGAGAGAGAGACACTGTAGGTATATCAGAGAGCAAATATAAGAGATAAAAATAAAAATAAGCTTTCGACAACTCGTTAAATTTCGATAGTAACAATAAATGTCTTTCGCAACAAGTGGCTTGCGTCTCTTTTTTTCAGCTTTGCACTTGACCCCGCGTTTTGGGCCCGTGTGTTGGCTCCCCTTCCCCGCGCTACTGTTCTTTTCCTTGCATTGAGAGCACCGTCCAGCGAGAAAATAAACTCTTGTGTGAATACCCAGAGCAAAAGTATCGTTGTCTTAGGAACTAGCTAGGTACCAAAATACCAAATCACAGCCCCCTCCAATGTGGAAAAAAGAGGATGACATTCAGCGGTACCGAAACGCGGGATGCGCGACTAGGTGCCCGGCACACGCACGCGATACTACCAGCTAACACGTATTAGCTGGAGTGCCTTAAAAAAACTCATAAGCTAACAAGTTAACACGCTAGCAGGGGCCGGCCGTGTGCGACCTTACCCCTTTGCGACCCGGTCTTTGTTCTCCCCCCTTCTTCCATAGGATGAGAATGGAAATGGAGTGCGGTTGGTTATGGGGGAGGAGCCGTGGCGCGGAAAAGTGGTTTGTGAGCGTGGTGTTAGTGGAGGGGCTTGTGTGGCTTGTATAGAATGTTTGTATGACGGGGGCATTTGTGTGGTGTGATGCGGTTTTTGGGACACGAGCGAAAGGGGATGGATGGGCTGAGTGGCATGGGTTGTTTTTTTGGGTATATAAGAAGGGGACGGAAGGGAGGGTGGTGGGATATTACAAGTTCAATATTTCAACGGGTAAAAGAAAGAAGTCAAAGGATACTATACTTACTACGGGCAATATGTTTCTACCTTCGTTGACGCTTCTCGCTACTCTCTCCTCCATTTTCCTGCCTCATGTCCAAGCCGTCGGTCGCGCAATCGTTAGCAATCAATGTCCGGAGGCCATTTACCTCTGGTCCGTAGGCGGAAGCATCGGTCCGCAGCAGAAGATCGAGCCGTCGACATCCTACAGCGAGACATTCAGACGCGACCCTCAGTCCGGGGGCATCGCGCTTAAGATTTCGCCAATTGCAAATGGCATCTTTCAGCCGAATGTCAGCCAGACTATTTTCGCGTACAATCTTGATGGCCAGCAGGTCTGGTACGATATGAGTGATATCTTTGGTGATGGATTTGCCGGACGCACAATGTCGCTCAAGCCGAGCGACACCACCTGCCAGAGTATTGTTTGGGGATATGGAAAGCAGCCCGCTGGAAGTTCGATCAAGGTGTGCGGGTCCGGCACTGACTTGACTCTATCGTTTTGCACGGGTGGTTGCTTGCCGAGTTGGTGTAAGTCTCATATCTTTCTTTGAGTTTGTGGTGATTGTGGCGTTTGGGTTGCTAACGTGACGTTTAGATCCTTGCGGAAATGCTGCACCGGGAAGTAACAAGGTTTGCTGCACGCATTGTATTGGAAGCCATCACTGCGTTGCGCCGCCGTCATGATTGAAATGAAGATAACAATTGGAAATGTGCTGATGATTGCGAATTGGGGGCGACGGCTTTATGGTCCAGACGTCAATTTCCTGTACGCATGTTCGGAGCGAGATTTGGCTAGAGAGTGGAATGTGGGAGTTCTTCGCACACTTACTATCCTTACTAATGATAATTTGTTTACTGATGATCTCTCTTAAAGTCTCATGAAATAGTTCTGACCTAGCTAGTTCCTTCAAATGCTTGTCTAAGAAATGCAACATATTAGGATACTCCGAATGCACCTATCCGACCTATCCAAAAGTAAGAACTTTCTACATGATGTGGTCGCGAGACCTGTGCGCAAGCGCGTAATCTCCTATTGTATTCTATAATACTGTTGAACGAGATGAGCATCCCTGGCGACACCAAAACCCCGTTGGATACCCTGCATGCTTTCATCTTAGTACACGTGTTGCCCTTCTCCGACTAAAATTATATCCATATGCATACCACTTTACGCCGAAAGCCTGAACTCATCCCTGATTCGATTCGACCAATTTCCCCGCTTTATCCTCGCAGCCTGCTGCTTCATGTGTAAACAATCATTTGCTCGCTCGTTTCTAATGGTTTGAAGAAACTCATCCAGTCAATGGTTACCCAACTCGCAATGTTGAACGTGGATGTTTCAGAGGTATGTAGTTCAGGGGCGAGGATCCTACAGCCAGATCCTATCTCGAGCTCAATCATGTTGGTTTCCAGGATCTTGACCTCGCTGATATTCGGTTCCATGTATCTTGTCCTGCGACCTCTCTTTGTGCGGCTCGCGTCGTCCTTTTCAACATTGTTGTTCTTCTTCAAGCTTCCATTGTCTTCAATAAGCTGTGAGCGGCTGTCGGTTGAGATGGGTAACACAACACCCTGGAACACAGCTTCTTTGGGCATAGATGAAAAGCTCTGGACTTTGTTGAAATTAAACTGGAAGCTATCCAGATCTAGAATCATTAGCGCAAGTAATGCAGGACTCTCAATAAACTTGCTGAGTAAATTAGGCAACCGTCGCCTTATTTTCTGCTTTTCACGGTTTCTAATGTGGCAGCTATTGTCCACCTCCTCGTCAGCTTTGGGCTTTTGGTCGCGCGTTGAGTTGCTTTTTCTAGCTGGCTCCGTCCCACGAAAGAATGCGCTTTGCGTCCACGACTCAGGGTTGAATGTCGCGCTGTTGAAGAGTCGCGAATGGCTGTTCGCATGACGTAAGAAAAGGCGACTGCCAATCATCGATGACTGGCGTATCCTACTGGCGTACGGGTTCAGATCTGAGAATGGCCTGCGGAAATTAGAGTATCTCCAAACTTCGTAAGGCGTTAAGAAGCTCAGGGCCTCCAACTCGCGACGCATATCGACTCGCGTTTCTTTAACCCCACAAAAGAACTGGATATTGATATTCTTGCGTTCAAGGTCCATTAGTAGATCCAGATAACTGAAGCCGCCCTCGTCTGTGGCGTCGCAATTAATGATTGCTTCGTGGGATTCGCTGGGGAAAAAAAGTTCGATGTATCTCAACTGCATGTCTTCGGGAGCCGTCTCATTGATCATTTTCAGGAAGGCAAATGTGAATTTATTGCAAGATCGCAAATGTAGGTGTGTGAGTGTAGGAGGCAAAACCTTCAACCGCGCCTCTTCCAATGTTTGTAATCTCCCGTCTTTCAGTACGAGGTTGCGTGTTGGTGTGTCATTCTTATTGGGTGTAGCTTGACGGTTCTCGCTCGAAAAGACAACGTTTTGTGGACAACCGAGAGCATCCATGGGGACATCGAGACGCTTCAGGCTAGAAAATCCGGCTAATGTGATGGTGTGTTTTCCCATATTTCGCCATTGGAGATCGCGAAACTGGAGAGTCTCGAGAGTCGCCGGCCCCTTCCACCTAGTATCTTCAGCAATGGTGAGGGATTGGAGTGTGTGACGCAGTATCTGGAGAGCGATTCCGTCGAATGGGGTAACTGGAAGTAGTTCTGGATTTAACGAAGGAAATATATGGGGCGCTGAGTGGTTCGGTCTGGGTGGCTGGCCAGCTTGGAAACGTCTGGCTCCCGGGAGCTCAATCGTTATTGATCTCAGGTTCGAGCACAACGCTACCAGTGTGTTCAAGAAGAAGGCTTGGTCCTCACGCCATACTGGACCCAAGAAGTTCTTGGTTTTCCGGATGTGGCTCCAGGTTACCTCGCCCTGGGTGTTGGCAGTGATGATTCTGCCGATCATCTCCTTGACATCACCATCGAGGTTGGGAACGTCTCGGCAATGACAATCTTGGTGATGGGAACAATCAAAATCACCGAGGTCGACGCTTGTGACTTTCTGGATAAGTTGAGGGTGATGCCCAAGCATCTCAAGGAAACCTCTGATATTTGGCTGACGAAGGACTGGCTTCCGAACCATAGTTTCTTGCACAATACCGCTGAGCCGCTTGTTTACAAGCGCAAAGTTGAATATAGACTTGTCTGTGCGGAGCTTGGAGGCTATCAAGTCAATCAACTCGGATGGTAGGTCAAGAAGACATATCCTGGCGCGCTTGTACGCTTCACCGTAGTCCAAAACAGTGTTTGATTGGTGATCGGAGTGTTGCTGCTCATGACTGGGGGCAGTCTCTCGTCTCGTAGTCTCGCGTGGGAGGTTTGGGATGGCGGGCGCAATACCAGGGCTTCCCACCCGTCTCTTTCTCATCCTCGAGCTGGACGGTGTTGATGGCGCCATTGTGAATTTGTGGGCTTGCCTGAGGTGAAGTGATTATCGGACGCTTGAGTTGCGCCGTCTTCTTGCTTGTTTCTATATGCTCATGCGCTGGGTAGAAATCGATGTGGGCATTTTAGTCCCGTGAGTTAGTCACACCTGCGGCAACCGCGCTATATGCAGCTGATAAACACGAGGTGACGCCAGAAGGGGAGCGGGGGGATGAATAGATTGTTTTCTGTTGCTGCAGGCTTGAGAGATGGCCTACGATGATATCTGAAAGATTTGGAAAGTTCTGCCTGTTTCAGGGACTGTCTTTCTGTCGCACTCGTTCACTGTAGTGGGAGGAGTGACACGTTCACGCCAAGACGCTAGCGTTCGATTGGGTGATTCGTCATTGCTGCCTGATACACACACGTGATTGATAGATGATGCATTCGGCATGGAAAAATCCCGTTCCAGGCAGGGGTGCATAGATAAAGCATCGAGTGTGCACTTCCTTGTTTTGTACATGTGGGGGGTAGAGGTACAGATGGCGGCTCCATAAGACAGGTCACGCGATTGGAGAAATGGACATATTTGACGAATCGCTTCTTTTGATAACATTACCCACTATATTAAAATATGGTCACCCAAACTAGGTTTCCTCCTCTATTCGAGAATATGAGCTCCATGGCCCTGATTCACAGAGAAAACGATCAATTGGATCTGATTCGACAAGACCCCGCCGTTCAGAGGTATACATTTCAATCCCAACAAACGTCCACTGGTGATTTTCCGCTCCATAGAAGTCTCTCCTTCCTATATTTGTAGTATCGCAATGCCTTCCATGTACTTCATTGCTCCCGAAACCCCCAACGCCTAGCAAGTCATACATCATCCTGCTAGACTTCGCGTCTCCCATCTCTTTGGATAAAAACGTGTGGTCAAGCAGAAGAGCTCTCTGCGGGTGTGATTGTGATACTGGTTTTTGTGATGAAGCTGCGGGGCGATAACGAGGATGTTCAACAATGACACCGTCGGAGCGTTCGACTGCGCGATACTTCTTGGGTCGTCGCTTGGAGGTGCTTTGAGTCTTCTTCGTTGTTTCGTAGAGGGTGTGGAGAGAGATGTTTGCATTATGACGAATTTCGCAGCTGGGCTTCTTGAGTGGGCTCTCTACAAGGACCCGCATTTCGAAGTAGATGAAATGTAAGTAGCTTCTGCTAAGCAGTTGATAGCCCAGTGTTTTCTGTATGTTTGATGCTCTTCTCTATATCAGTGCTTCATGCTCGCTTTTGTACTTACAATCCAATCGATACTGATACTATTAGCGTGCGAGCTCTTACGAAGTACGAGGGCTTCACAGAATCCAGAACTTTTCCATCGAGATCTCAAACTCTCCACAGCGTTCATTTGCCCTTCTCCTGTGCGACCAGCTCGTTGCGAAACAGTTGTCTTACGAACGAAGACCGGGGATCGTCCTAAAACCACCCCACAAAGATATCATATCTGCAGGTATCGGTCCCAGCCTTCAAAATCTAGACCGCAAGGGCCTCTCGGAATCAACCGTAGTCCTAAGGTGGGTAAGCTGCCGCGGCTACAACATGCTATCCCCATGTCTGCAATGTCTTTTGAGGGTGAAATAACGTCATAAGAAGGTGATGGTGAGATGTTCTAGACTTGCAGGTCGGGTGTGGCGCCTGAGCATCTCGACTCCATGACCTGGTGTTGTGCAGCCGAGATGCACAGCCCCCCGCACTGCGTAGCGAACATGATGTCATGCGCAAGGCCGACAATGTTTTTTGCGGATGTCAAGTATCAGCCAGAGATTCCGGACAGCGCAGCTGCAAACTAGTCAAAGGGCTAGACTTCTGAGTTGTAGTAGTGTAGAAAGTAGGGAGTTTAAGAAAGAAGATTGCTGAGAGAGGAGCGTGGGGGTGCGATGATGTCATGATACGCTAGTCAAAGACCCTGACAGGAACAGGAAACGCAGAGCAAAAGTGACCAAGGGTCTTGTAGCAGTACAAGCTAGACATGGGAAATCTAAGAGTCGTTCTGAAACTTATCTACCGTTCCACTTTTATGCCTGACTGGAGAAAATCATGTGCCGTGTTCAATCGCACGGTCACATGGTGAAAGGCGGCTAGTCGTACAGCAGAGGCACATTCTGTGCATGTAACAAGCGAGAACGATAAACCGTCTCCAACCCCACGTCTTCTTCATCCGTCTCGGTCATAAAAATGAGATTGTTTCAATGTAACTAGTACCGATTCAACCTATTATACAATAAAGGGGAATACGAAGTGGAATGTAGAGGTAAAGGAACATTATCCAACACTGCTTGAACATTGGATAAGCGGTTTTGACAGAATAGAGGTGCATAAATCAGGTACTTGCCCTGTAGCAGACACTTGGTCAAGAATCAATCACGACTTGTAGTGCCATGAACGGCAATTGAGTCATTAAGTCTACTGGAGACGCTTACCATACATTGAACGCCGCAGCACCAGCAAGCACCAGCAGAGCAGAGCCCTCTATGCCGAACCTGGCAGCGGCACCAGTGCTCTCAGGTACACTTGCGGACGACTGGCTCGATGTTGGCGAGGGCGCAATACTAGGAGTAGAAACGGTGCTCATGGTTGCGCTGGACGACGCGCTGGGCGACGCGCTGGACGACGCGCTGGCCGTCTCGCTGACCGACTCGACCGTCATCTGTCCTGCACTCGCACTCCTTGTCAAAGTTGCAACAGAGGTAGATTGAGCGCTCGTCTTGGTAGTTGTCGCACTAGCGCTTGGTGCTGTGCTTGTTTCGGTCCTCAGCAAGCTATTTCCTGCAACAACGTCGACGGTTAAAAACTTGACATCGTCGTTGGAGAAAACCGCAGTGACGGGTTCACCACCAGTGTCGTCGTTGCCACCCTTCTGCTTTACTGTGCATGTCATCTCGACTTCTTTCTTGTTGTAGTCGCAGCCCAAGCTCATGGAGACACCGCCAGCGTCCATAGTGGCCTGGTAGCGTGTTTGCGAAAGGATAGTCGCGTCAAGGCCCGGGCCCCAACCGCACTCTGAGCTGTCTATGCCAGTAGGGCACGCCATGCGGAATTCGGTCATTGTTGGGTTGACAGTGTTGATTGTCGCGACAGGATCCGCGCCCTCATAGCCTGTTGCGAATATGTTGTTAGAGCGGCTTCGTGAGGACAGGAGGATGACAAGAAAATTGCGGGTGACGAACCACCGGGGAAGTAAAAGCTGACGGTATCAGCAGCGCAGACAGTGCTGGCAAGAATGGAAAGAAGGGCGGTTGATTGACGCATGGTATCTCTGTTGTTGTAGGCTCGATAGTGGGTCTGTCAGAATACGAGTGTAAGAATTAAAGTTTAGAAGTATGTTGATAGGCGGGTAGGTATTGTGGCTTTGTTGCAGGGTAAAAGGAGCGACTATGGTATGTGTGGCGTTAAGGAACGTGAGCTTTGCGACTGCAAAACGAGTGGGCAGACACGGCAAGGCAAAAGGCGAAGCGGACGGGTGTGCGCGCCGACTCTAGTAGATATAAGTACGAAGCGCCATTTACCTGTATCTTTGTTCCCCCTGAGCTTCAGAGCAAGGCTTGTCTTGCTAGCCGCGGCTAGATGTGTGCAATTAGCGGCGATCTGCATGAGATGCACAGCCCGACTTGAACTGTAGCAAAATTGACTCCAGGCCAGCAAAATTGACACCAAGCCTTGCAAAATTGCCGTGTGGGTCAATGTCGGGGATCAAGGAGATTGGCCATTAGTTGACACGAGTCAGGTTAGCAGCGCTGGTAGGGCCGGGACGAGTGGAGCCGCACGGTAGTAAGTAGGTGAACGACGGCCTTTGCATGTGTTGTCAGGCACACATGGGCTTGAAACGCTTGCCTAGTCGACCAAGACGTGCGTGACACGTGGATTGGGAACAGTGGGGGCTGCGAGTGCCGAGATCCGACATGTTATCGCAATCGCAGCCGTGTTTAGAAGCCGGGCCGTTCTCTGAGGGTCTTGTAATATCACCGTGGATATGGATGCGGATGCGGGTGTGGGTGTAGGATGCAAATGAAAGATGGAGGTAGAGAGGGGCAGAAGGGATGGAGGCTGTGGAGAGCGTGGAGAGCATGGGGATGAGTACTTACCTGTGTACCTGCCTACCATGCACAACCCCACTTTCCTACCTTCCTACACCTGGTTCCAGTGCTATCATCACCACCACCACCATCATCACCAACACCACCACAGCACTGCATGTATATAGTGTACATCTCCAAAAACTAGCTTGCCGACGATGAGGGCAACCCTTCACCTCACAAAACGCCCCGCGTAGTCCGACTGCTCGTCTTTCTTTATTCCCGGCCATAGCCGCTGCCTTATCAACGAGCGCCCTGTCTGCGAAGTCAAGCTGATCCCTGCACCTAATCACCCTATCTACGCTACAAGCTAGCACTACCAGGCTCATCAGTGATGGAAGCACAGGGTCTGCTTGTCATATGGGCATCTGTTGACCCTACAACAGTAGACGAAGGCGCTCTGAACGACTGGTGGACCAACGAGCATCTCCCTGAGCGCCTGCGCCTCCCAGGATTCCAGCGAGCGCGTCGTTACCGCGCGCTCAACCCTGAAAATGGACACAACGAATATCTTGCCGTGTACCACCTGTCGAATGTGCAGGACCTGGCATCAGTAGAGTATCTGCACGCGCTCAACCATCCCACACAAAAGACAATGCAGTTTATGCCCTCGCTGGCTAAGATGAGTCGGTTTGCTTGCGAGATCGTTTCGTCCGAAGGTTCATCCGTTTTGACATCGGACCAGCCGGCTGAAACACACAACATGCTGTATATGGTAGTTTACAAAGTTGATGCTGCACGGCAAGACCACGACCCATTGTTATCAATCCAGGAGCATATTGGCCGGGCACGAGACGCTGCATCGGCAAATACGATGCATGTTCACTTGGCTTAAGGCAATCAAAGGCTTTCCGAGATTGGTAGTGCCAGCAGGTCTTACGAAGGCGTGCATTTCAAATCCTCTCAAGCCGTTGGCGAGACTGAAACACTGGCGGCTGACACGGTTATTGCTTTGTACGAACTCAGCCACAATCCGACTGACAGCTCGATAGCCGAGGGCGACACCGTCAGCACACACCTTGGCGACACTTCAAGTCTACGGGGGGTTCGTATCAGGCATACCAATATCTATCATCGCATCGCGTCCCTTGATAGATCTTCCCTTGTGCATTGACGTGACCTAGACGCTTCTGCCTACGCCTATGCTGGCCGCCTTACCACGACGAAACACATTCGGCAACGCGTGCCCCCCATTTTTAGGCACCACGGCCAATCGAATAAGTCTGGCAACAAAACCCATACAAGCCACATTATGGGCACATACCAAAAATGGGTGCGGGTCGCCAGGGATCGCTCATGAGGCTTAACCGGTCAACAGGCTAATCGAGCCATAAAGCTTGCCTTTTATCACGCGTTGTGCAGCCATCGTCACAGTCGTCCTCGAGCCATCAACAGAAGAATCGGCTCTCCCAGTAATTCATTGACGCCAGAATCAACATGCCTGCCATGAGGATGCCCATCACGTTTGCACCCAGCGCAAATGTGTCTCCTCGCCTCCGCATCCTACAACACGCCCAGCTAGCCATTGCATTCCTTGCATTCTTCGCCTTTCTCGTCACCTTTCTCATCCCGTTTCGCCAAAAACTCTTCACGCTCAGCCTTCTCTACACCCCGCTCCTCACCTCCATAACCACCATCTTCTTCGTCGTCCGTGAGCAAAAGAACGCAGAAGCTGGAACTCTTTCCAAGCAGAAATATGTCAAGTACCAGGTGCTCAAGATGGTGGCTGCTATCGGCATGTCGTTCATAGGATTCATTGGATATCTAGCTAGCGCGCCTGCTGAGGCAGACCAAGATGTACATCATCCTGGCACACAAGGAATGTGGTTGAACGGAGTCAAGATTGGAAGATGGCAAGGCCTATTGCTTTGGCTCAACTTCTTCAACTGGTACGTAGCCTTTTGATTTGCAGTAAACGCTGTTGGCTGCGTGGGCGCTAACACATGCTTGATAGGGTCTTCCTCTGGGCTAGCTTGTTCTACTCGTGCTGCATGACGAGCAAGAAGCAGGGTGCTATTGCCCTTGCCGGTGACGAGGCCAACATTGGTATCGATGATGATACTGCTAACGACGAAGCGATTGCCCGCGATCTTCAGGCTCGGGACCCCAACTGGCAGGCCTAGATCTGAGACGACAGGCGGGATTTGCGACCTCAATTCCGTATTGGACATAGTCGAGAGTTAAATCTCGAAAGCAAAGTTTATGTGCTATAATGGGAAAGCGATGGGTTTGTTTAATGTTGTGCAAGAAAGTGGTACAACGGGGATGAAGTAAAAAAAATCATCGATTGATGGTTGTCCAGAGTTTATTGGATTATCAAGATGTTTCTACGCCCTTTCTCTTCTGCCCGCATGCCTTGAACATGTCACACTTTTATAACCTCACCTCACAGATCCAAGGCGATCCGTAATAATAAACACGATCCATAAATCATAAGCACTAGACATACATGGCCATTGTTACAAGATCAGTTTCAGCATTCATACTCCCTCTTTCTCACGAAAAGGCGGGGCTTCTGTATCCAGCACGCCAACACACTGCGGCCTATCTTCAGCGTCGAGCACATGCCGCAGATCTTCAGTGCACGTGATATTATCCACACTATCGCCCGTAATAGGCATATCATTCTTGCTAGACCGCGGTTCCAGAGACTGCAAATCCACATCCGGCGCGCCTGCAGATTGCGTAGAGTCATATCGGGACCGCCTACGACGTGCGTCTTTCTGTAACATGCCGTGTTGATTGCGGCTGAAGAGGCCTCGGATGAGCATGCGGCGTGGCATGGGGACTTCGGCGAAGATGTCCGTGGTGAAGGGGCTTGTTTGGATTGAAGATTTAGAAGCTGTGAAGGACATGTGGTTTTGGTTGTGTGGGGTGGCTAGGGCAATGGTTCGGATGAGGTGGGCCATTGACATTTCGATGTTGAGTTTGGCTAGGTATGCCAGTGGATGAAATATGGCGTAGCTGCTCGATGTTAGTTTGATGTGAAGATTGGGAAGTTTGGTGTTGACCTACACGAATCCGTTGGGGATGCTCATTGCTGCAATGATCATGACGTCGAATAAGAGTGAGACTATGATGATGCGCTTGTTGAAGCGGACTAGGCGGTTGTACTTGCTCAGGCCATTCCTTACGAGCTCGGATTGGACGGTCTTGATGAAGTACCAGTTTAGGTACGCGTCCAAGAGCAGGAAAAGGACTTTCTCAATTCGATCCCAAATAGAGTTGACGCGGACCCATCTGAGGTTTGATCAGTTGAAATATCAAAAGATCACGTGCAGCGAATACCTTTGACTGATCTGAAGACGTGCGGGCATCCACACGCAAAAGACGCTAATGTTAATCAAAGTGACAACGACTGCAGTTCCTATGGCTAGGTGTCTTCCTCGTTGTCGATCTGGTAAAACTACACGAATTCGATTGACGATGATTTGCGGCAACACTTGAATCTGAACCACCCAGCAAACCACTAGACACTGTTAGTCACCTTCTACTCGACAGCTGTGCCATACTTGCAGATGCCCATGTACATGTAAAAACTGGGCCGTATGATCCTTAGTAAGAACAGCAGGCACACTACGGAAAGGACCACCGAAGCAGCCAATTCAAGCCATATCATCCAGATATATGCATTTCTCCACGGCTGCCGGGACGCTCTCGTCTGCCTGAAACCAATGAAAGCCGCGGAGAGTCCAAAGATGTTGGCAATACCGAACGCCGCACTCGCTAAAATAATATCCGACCGGCTTACTGGATGTATAACGTAGTTGTCGGGGATGAATGGACCCCAAGCCTTATAGCCTGGAGGCAAAGCATTATTGTTGCTCATGAGCTTGACTTAGGTAGCATGTAAGCCAGCCCAGGCGTGATTCATGGTCGACGTTGAGGCGATACCAGGATATGCTGCAGAGAGAATTTGTGAACAAAAACTTGGTGTTGTGGCTTTCAATAGCTTCCGTTAGTAGTCGACAGCTGCGGGGCCGAACGCGCTATATTATGAACAGTGGGAAAAGCTCCTGGCATGAACAAACGTCCGTGTGCCTGTGTTGGGTGTAAGCCAACGTGCGAATTCGGGTGGTTACTATGGTGCCCAACACGGGTCATTTAGAAAATATGTTGCCAGTGAAGGAGGAAGCGGGCAAGGTTTTCGGCGGGAGCTGTTGAGCTGACATCGACGATCGCTGATCGTGTCAATCGTTCAGGAATGCCTTAGCATCCGACTTGACTGATTGGACGCCGCACAAAAAGAACGGCGTGGCTTCGGTGTCGTCGCCACTGCGCAGAAACCATAACACTCCCACGATTCCATCATCAGAATAACTGGGAATTTTATTTCCACGGATAGATGGATTCATAAGATTGTGCCTCGTCTAATGCAGGAACGCAGTGTCGCAAGTTGCAAGTGGCAGTCGTGAAGTGTCAACGACAGCCATTGGCATCACGAAGGAACTTGAGAAGCTATGTTGATCATCATACCGCTGCTTTGATATCCATTTATTTGCGGTAAGCTGAAAAAAAACGAAACGTACATGTCTGCACACTGTGAGAGTGGCAGAGTGTTGACGTAGGCCAAGATCAAATATGTTCCGTTCCGTTAGCGCCAAAGTTTCCGGTACGTGACACACTTGCCAATACCACCGTGAGCTTGCCTATACCGAATCATATCGGATCTACAAAATCTCCTACATTGATATATAGAATTAGATAGGGTACCTGGCTTTTGTCATTGTGGACTACAAATCCCGTTCAAGTCAGGTGATTAGACATAGTGACAGACTTGTTCCTATTCAGATGCTGTCCTCACAATTCCCTACAACTACGTTTAAAGACCTCCGACACGTCAACTATTCCCCGATCCTACAAGACCCCAGTATATTGTGTGATGTGTCTGGGGTAAAGTGGGGCTGCACCCCACTGACAAGCTCTAGGGTCTCGCCAAAGTATACATACATTACTCCGATGTCGCATGGATACATGCATGTCTATATGCGGATAAGCATCACACATGTTTGAAGACTTCACTCTCACCTGCACTTGACGCGCTTGCTCTGATTACTATTTACATGCCAGGCAACAAATACCCACAAAATCCGATATGGAATGCGAAGACCGAATTCCAATAAGGCGTGTTTGGTGACCAGTATAAATGGCTGCATGGCACGAAATGTAGATCCGGATGACTTGGCTGTATCCTGGAAAGCATCGCTATGCACCTGATGTTTTGTGGCGTAGAGATGTCCCTGATAACACTTCAAATGTCATTCTTGTACCAGGTTCTTTGACACGTGGAGCATTAACAAAATCAGTACGACGCAACATACCACCAGAGACTGGCCATTGTGAATCATCTATTACTTTCATTGCCGCTCCTGTAGAGTGAAGGTCTATTAACTTTAGAATTCTATCTAACAGAACCTTTGCTATGAGGAGAAAAAGAAACTTGCCGTCTCCTAGCTACTCGACCAACAGCCGTCAAAGTTACGAACCCTCCAATCTATATACACATGCCGCCAACAACTTTCTTTGGCCATCGAAGAAATCAGCAACTTGATTCACTCTCCTGAACCCTGTACTGAGTCTCAATCCTGGAACGGAGTTTTTGGGCTCAGTCATCCGGTTAAAAAAGGATTGGGCATTGCAAGAGTAGTCATATCCCACCTCACATGTAGCCAAGACATGACTTGAGCTCTAAATATCACTAAGAGCGTCTTTCAGTACATGTAGCGGGCTGACCAAAAGGAAAACTTTGCTATCCGACATCAAGAAGTCACATGAATTAATGTAAGCATAGACACTTCCCAGAGGGCCTTTTATTTCGCCAAATAAAGTTCCTGGATGATCGATCTTCATTGGGATCTCGATAATTCTAACCATTGCAAAGCTTACTTTCTCCCCGGATATAGCGTCAACATGTAACGGATGTCCAATCAAAAAGACTCCTCGATTCCCCGTAACAGAAAGTGCCACTAGAAACACCCATATTTGCAGCTTGGGAGACTATTTCAGCCTGCAGTTCGGCAAGTAAGATATCACGGTCATCGCCAAAAGAGCTGCCGGAGGACCCTTGTTTAGTAGACTAAAGCCGAACGAGGGAACAAGTATCAAAAGACTACTAAACGGTGAAATACACCCCGGCACCCACTACTCCACGACCTCCGAGGCCCCTTCCAACCAATTGGTCCCACCCAGTAGTCCAACCGCCGGAGAACTCGATCGGTGCCCTAATGCACGACATGCCATCCTACTACCGCTTTCCACATAGCGTACTGCAATCTACGCAGCACACAGCTTTCCAGTGACAAAACCAACCCGGGACTACGACCTGGATTTTCCAGCCTTACCCCAGTCTGCAGACCTCACGACACAACATGAGCATTTGCCCAACGATCTGTTTGGCCCAAACCGCTCAAATTCCGATCTTGAGATGACTGTTCCGCGGCCCCACTGTACCCACGCGTTGAGATAAGCAGCTGGTTCAAGCTTCAAGGAAAGATGTAAGCGGGGGGAAGTCGCCACGGGTGGTTCTGGAATATCTTCCCAGGATGTCCAAACTCTACTCCCTATTACTTTATTTCCTCAAACGCCCACAGCCGTGTACTCTCCCTAGAGCCCCCTGCTCGAATTCTCCCCCTCGCAGATTGAAGCTCTGATGGCGCCACAAACTTCCATCCCGCTGGCAGCAAACGTACTGGGTACCCTAGGCACGGTATTCTGGTGCGTACAGCTTGTACCGCAGATATGGCGCAATTACCGGACGAAGAGCACGGTTGGGCTACCGGAGTCGATGATGCTGCTTTGGTCGATTAGCAGTGTGCCTTTTGGGGCGTATGCTATAGCTCAGCAGTTCAACATTCCGCTTATTGTTCAGCCGCAGTGTTTTGGTGTGCTTTGTGGGGTTAGTTGGGCGCAGTGTTTGATATATGGTCGGTATGTTGAGAGTACGCTATCGAGTCTTTTGATCAGTGTATTGATGGATCGCTAGGAAATGGAGAACGTGGACTGCATCTCTTTTGTTGTGCATCCTCCTGGTCATCTTTGCTGGAGTAGAAGTTGGCCTTGTGTTTGCGATTCGGCTGCCGTACTCGAGAGGAGTAGAGTGGCCGGTGTTACTAATCGGTATCTTTGCATTCCTGACACTCATCTCCGGTTACCTGCCTATTCCTTTTGAGCTACTAAAACGACGTGGAAGGGTTGTTGGAATTGACTTCATTTTCTTGGCCATCGATTGGAATGGCGCATTTTTCTCGCTCATGGCTTTGGTAGCTCAGAATGAGTTTGATGCGCTGTTCGGCACTATGTACGCTTTGTGGTGAGTCGCGTACAAAGTTTTCAGATACTCTGTGGGCACTGACCGATGACAGTTGCGCGATCGAGATGAGTATGGTCGTCTCGCATCTAGTATGGCTTTTTCGGACTCGCGGTATTCGGAGACGTGCCAAGGAAGCCGGTAAGACGTTTGATGAATACAAGGAGGGAATCGAGTGGCAATCAAAGGGCATTGATGTTGAGAGGCTGCTCAAGGGCATGTTCGCTGGGAAAAATGAAGGCAAGGAAGAAGGAAGAAGTGCTACTGTTGATGACATCGAGGCAGCTGCTACACCGGAAGAAGTGATGCCAAAGACTGTTCCAAATGCTACCAGATAAATGTTAAGTCTAGGGGAGTAAAATATACGAACAGCACTCCTATCAGTTCGATTGCACTCCTAATCAACAACGATATTGCAAGTCACAAGAAAGTCATCACCAGGATCTCTTTCAAGAACATGTTCGGGTATCATTGTTACATTGTTCATAAAACAGTAGAGCTACTCTCTACAAAGCTTGCTGTCAAAAATCAAGGAGTGCTACCATTCGCACTCCGCTTGCGCTGCATTTTCATGCGCTGAGCTTCCGCATACTTGTTCTCTGCCTCCGGAACACCACGTATGACACTGCCTCTGCGTGAGGTTGGCATTGAACCGCCTTGTTGTGCAAATGAGTTTGCTCTACTTCCATAAAGTCCTGGTAAACTGCTAACACGGCGGCCGCCAGTCTCGTCACGAGCAGCATTCAGCTGCTGGGCAAACGGACTGCGCTTGCGGAGCTCAGGACCCTTCCAGTAGATGACGTATACGGAAACCACCAGAAGTAACGAGATGCCGAAAAGAATTGTTGAAGCGTATGCAAGGTGTAAGTCGCCACCGATGTTCTGGAAGAAAGGCGTTGCGGGAATGGTGAGAACACCAGCGAGGAAGTCACGGGCCCAGCCATTACCACCGGTCGCGGAGGCGGAGTAGGGTCCATAGGCGCAGATCATGTAATCGATAGTGGCCATGTAGATGGCGTAGTTGGCGATACCAATGATTGCGGAACCAATGAGAGAACCGATCCAGTGGATTGGTGGCCCGGTGGAAGTCCAGGCGAAGATGATGAGACCGATAGGTAGGCAGGGTGCGGTGTAAAGCAACCACCAAAGTCTCGCCTCGTATTGAGCACGCTCATCTTCAGGCTTCTCCTCACGAAGGCGTTTATTGCGCTTGATAGCTGGGAAGAAAGAGAACCAGGCGAGGAAGTAGCCGATACCAATGGCGATGAAAGTCAGTCCGATAGCGAAGGGTGCAAAATTCCATTGCTCGTACACAAGGGCGTACGACTGAAGGAACATGAAAATGATGGCATCAGAGAAACCGGACAATAGCGAAAGGACAAGTACAATAGGCTCAGTGACGAACATGCGGAATGGGCGCATCCAGGTAATGAGGATCTCGCGTATGCTGAAGCGTTCCTTGAAGGTCTTGAGTTCATTCGGTCCCCAAATGTTGTTCGGTTTGCCATTCTTCTCGCCCTCTTGGCGACGCTTCTTAGCAATGCGATCCATGAGCACTGTGGTGCGAGTTTCGGGAACAAGGAGAGCATGGGCAATTTGAACTGCACCGCCAAAGATTAACTGGATCCAGATGTTCCACCTCCAGGCGAGGAATTGCTCGACGAAACCTCCGACAATAGGGCCGAGAACTGAACCACCAACGGACGAGAAGACAATGAACGCAACAGCATATTGCTGATTATCACTGTGCATGTTAGTTGCATTCATAGTGCAGAAAGAGAAGGTACTCACGGTTCCCACATATCAGCCACCATGGCCAAAGTGACAGAGCCACCAGCAGTAGAAAGACCACCAAGAGCACGAAAGCCAATGATAGTCCCAAAATTGGGTGCGATACCAACAGGAATCTGCCAGATATTGACCAGGAACAAACTGAGCTGGAGGATAGGCCATCGCCCGAGCTCTTCACTCCAGGGCGCCCAAAGCTCGCAACCAAAGGCGTATGTGAGTAGGAAAACGGCTGCACCAACACGCGCTGCCTGTGCACTGACGCCAAACTCTTCGGAAATACCGCTGACGGCATTGCTGTATAGCGATGTGTTGAAGTTCATGCTGACTTGCACCATGAAGATGACGCTAAGGATAGTCCATTTCTTCCACTCGGGGAAAGAAAACCCAAGCTCATCGTAGCAATCTTCTTCAGTGATTTCATAGCGATCGTAGGTGCCGTACTTTTCGTAGTGTTCTTTATCAGCCGCAGAGATGGCATGGTCAGCTGGGTTTTCTGTGTGAGAGTGGTCGCCATCAGAAGCAGCTTTCTTTTCGAGATCGCCAGCCTCGTTCTTGTTGACTGTCTCGGCGTCGTGAATGTCTGGTCTTATTTCCGCGGCGGACGCCATGCTGCCGGAAGCTAAGCGCTTAGGCGGTCAATAATTATTAAGATATTTGGGCAATAGTAAGCGCGCCTTCGAGGCCCCAGAAGTATGGGCTCCGAGGGTTGGGTGGATAGAAAGATTAACTATTAAAGCGAGATTTGCGCGTCATAATTACACTGGGGTGAATGGACTCTTATAACTTGGCAGTGAAAAGTGAAAGCGGTGATGGCATAGGCGCGGCGAACCAGGCAGCACACTGCATTCTGTGCGCATCACAAGGCACACGGTCAATGCTGAGGACGTCATACTACATTATCCGCACCGACAGAGTTGTGGAGCTACGGCGCGTTCAAATTAGGGGCCGTTTGGTCCTTCAGGCCTACTACCACAGCCTCTCAGACCAAGCGATGCAGCAGTAAATATGGGGCAAATGCAAATCGCATGTCGGCCGAAGCGAAGACGGTCTATTGAAGAGGTCTATCGTCGTCATACCAAAGGTTACATTGCTTTGTTACCCAAAAGTATGTAACATATGCATATGAGTGCGCAAGTTACAACGAAGCAAGTAGGCTTCTGGCCGTACCTTCATACACCATGCCAGGGTCTTCCATCACCCTAGCTGCGCTCCAAGCTTTATACACAAGACCTCACTTGCCATCCAAGCATCACAAGTAAACCGCCCAAGCAGTGGCGATCAGTACCGCCTAGCCGCGCCACCAGCCTTAGCCTCGAAATTCGATAATCCAAGGTGACATTGATGACGTCACATTATCCCACTCCCCATGGCACGAATCAACGACTTATCGGGGTCTCCATTGCACTCCACTTTATTGTAACAGTTTTGTTCGCTCCGTCTCCGAATTTTGCCCCAGCCTTGACACCACGAGGCACATGCTGGTTGCTGCCACGCGATGTCGCGGTAATTGCGAAGTGATTGGTTTGCCTTTTTGCGGAAGGTCCGGCAACTAAAGGGCATCTACACCTATGTACATAGGTTGAGACACGCCGTGGACAGTCTAAGATCAGGCTGAACCTAAAACTTTCAAAATTTCGTGAAAGTTATTTGACAGCAGGCGGGAATAATGTTGAGAATTTTTCTATCACCGATCCAATCATCATGTCTTCTAAACGTGCTTGGCCCGTGCAGTTGCATTTGCAAGAAAAAAGATCCATTGTTGAAACACTCCATTGTGAATACTAGGGTAGGTCACCACTAAATGTGGAGTAGATGTCAGGTGCTGTATTACCCATTATGGGAAGCTTTCCGTTCACATGCCCTGCCAATCCGACCTCCGACTTTTCAGCCTCATCTGCCTCCAGGACCTATCTACCGGTCTCCACCACGGACCGCAACGTACGCTACCACCCCTTCTAGAACAGCCTAGTTTATGGGAGTATACTCCTAGACCGGTTTATCCTTTCCGGTTCTCTCCGTCTTCGGTTTCCATCCTCGAGTCACTGGAGCGATACTTCTCCATCCTCGCTTTATTCAGTCTTCCCTTCAACTTATCTCATGATATCCAACACATTGGACTCTCACAATCGACACCTTTCACAGTCACTTCAGCATCGTTTGTACTATAACCAGATGATCTGCAGGCTGGTCCGCGGATCAACGAAATAAGCCCCTGCCAATCCGAACTTGCATCTTCACACGAACACTCTCTCCCACTCTACCTCTCCCCCCTCTTTCCAATAATCAATCCCGTCCCTCTTCACGAAACTCATCTTTTCCAAGACCCTTGCACTCCTCGCGTTCTCTTTTTCCGTCTCAGCAATAAACCGCTTCACACCTCTTTCTCTGCTAGCCCACTGCATAACGGCTTCTGCGGCTTCGCGGGCCATACCCTTACCCCAGTACGCTGTCGCAACACCATACCGAAGTTCAATCATCTCTTGCCAGTGCGGTAATGGGGGGTCTGCATCAGTGCGCAGCGGCATAGATGTCGTAGTTGCATCGCGCACACCCGCATATCCTACCCATTCCACGTTACTCAATGCTTGAGATATCGTTTCTGTTTCGTGCTCTTCAATGATGTGTACTTGGTCATTGGTTCCAGTGATGGGTCGTGTAGTCAGTTGGTCGATTTGTGCTGTTGATCGTAGGCCCACTGCAAGGTCGCCCAAATGCCTCTCTTGCCAGCATCGAGCAATATCTCGTGTTAAGATGATTTCCCGTGTTTCTTCTTCTGTCCAATTTCTTGCTGGGAAAGACGCCCCAAATCCCATCTCGCAAAAAGCCGCGTCGGCATGTAGACTGGCGTAGAGATTTACATAAGATTTGATGTTGACGGCGAGGGGTGTGGGGATGAGAACTAGCCGAGGTGTAAGGAGGATGAAAGAAGACGACGCCATTATTGAAGAGTTTTCGCTGGCCATTGGATATATTCTTGATAGGCGTATTGAGGTATTGGTTTGTTAAACTTGAGAAAAGAGAGTTGAAAGATGACTTTAGGCTTCCAAGCCAGTCATACTTGCAGTGTACTAGGTAAGAAACAGCCTAGCGCAGGATGCTCAAGAAATGTGGTATCAATCCAAGATGAAGTAATAAAAGTAGATTTGATTGAATAATCGCCCAATAAGACTACAGAATCGATCACAGAGTACTGAGTTCTAGGGATCTTTTGCTAATGCATGTAAAACCCTACTACCGAAGATTGAAGTGGGGGGTATCGAATTTTAAAGTTTCTACAACAATGCCTTTATGCTAACAAATGAAGGAAAGGAAAAAAAACATAAAACAACATCTCTATGCCTGTAGTTACAATGATGGAGAAGCAGGAGAGATATAAACAGAGGTGGGAACCTTCGTATCGCTACCGGAAGCTGACGAAGCAAACAACGCCTCAGCCTCATCAGCCAGAAAAGCTGGGTTACTCTCGAATCGCGGGTCAAGCCACAAAGCATTTGGATCCTTATCAGCAATCATCTTCTTAATAGTCTTCGGTTTCTTATGGCCTCCCGCGTAGAATATGGCAGCGCGTATAGCTCCAAAGACGGAGACGAGGGAATACAACTGTTTGTAGAGGGGATATGTCATAGCGGCCCAAAATCGTGGTTGGAGATCAGGTCGGTGGCGCGCGTTGAAGTACTTAAATGCGAGAATGGGAAGAGTGGCAGCGAGCATGAGGGGGAGGCCCAGGCGCCAGAAGTTCGTGTTGGATCCCATTGTGACGAACACGGGTACGCGGACCCAGTCGACGACAATGGTGGCGATGGAGTAGAGGTGGATGAACTTTTGAGTGAAGATGCCCCAGGGTGTTGTTTGACCGTTGAGTGAAAGGAGCATGCGGTCGGCAAAGGCGATGAGACGGCCATGTCGACCCATTTCCCATGAGCGATAACGTTGGTTCCACCAGTTGAGACCAGGGCCGAGAACTGTCGTAGGTACTTCAGTCTCAAGCACGCACGTCGCATCGAATGCGATGCGCTTCTTCATACGCTGCATAGAGAGACCGGTGTTGACGTCTTCGGCGATGAAGTCTATAGAGTGGTAGTTGCTGATGAGGTCGATCAAGGTCTCTCTTTCACAGAACCATCCTGCACCATGCGGGTATAGCACACCGCATATAGAGGACTCAGCGAGCTTGGTGAGACCAGACATCTTGTATTCGCAGTCCTGCCATGCAACGAGACACATTGGTACATCTCCATTTGCATCGACTGCCTTGAGGGGGAATGCGCAGCCTTTGGTGACGTCGTCCATCTTGTCAATTGGAGCACGGAAGTTGGCTGGTATGGATACATCATCGTCAACTGTCATGATCCAGTCGTGGTCTTTAGCAGCCATTGCTCCGACAAGTTGTGCCGCGTTCTTGCTGCCAATGGGCGACCAGATATAGTTTATGTCGGGGTGTTCGCTGTGAATGAACTTGCGGAACTCGGGCGACGGAGGATGTCTCGAACGACCATTGTCAACAACAAATATGTCTTGTGGCCGAAAATGGACAAAAGCGCTCTTGAGGACTTTGCTTGTAGCTTCGTGGTCGCTGTTGTGGCATGGGATGACCAATGCTGTGCGGTTGTTCGAGTTCGATGATGTAACCTCTACGCTGCTGGTCACTTTCTCAATGTCAATCTCGAAATTTGAGGTAGACTTCTCATCAGATGGGCTGACGGTCGGGTCGAGGGGTGGGACGCGTGCGACGAGAAGAATGATGGTGATCATAATTGGTTCGAGACCAAGCACGATGATGAGGACCGGCAGCATGTTGCTCCTAGTAATCTCCATTGACTTCTTGAGCCAACCGAAATAATGATCGGAAATAGCAATACCGACGGCCAGTGCAGCGACCAGGAAGAGTACAATGTACTTCTTCCAGGTGAATGGCCAAAACACCTCCCGTATATCAATCATCTGCCAAACCGTCCTAGGATGGACATGGTTGAAGACTTTCTGCTTGGCAGCAGAGAGCAAACGAAGGACTGCTCCTCTTCGGTCTCGTTTCTGGGCGCCTTGTCGAAGTGGTAGCGACTCGCTGCTTGAAAAAGCTGAGTTTGTTGCTGAAGAGCAAGGTGTACCAAATGGGTACTGTGAAGGTTGTTCATTGAAACTTGTGATGGAATTCGAAGAGTCGTATGAGATAAATGCAGGTCTTGGCGGGGATAATTCTTCTTGTGCGGGGGTGAGAGCTCCCGATGAATGTGTTTCAAGACGCGCGTCTTGACTGGGTTTGTCGGAATCGAATGCCAGAGTGGGACGAATTGGTGATATTTCGTCCACATCCTCTCTGCGTATGAAGGATATTCCAGTCATTTTGCGGTTAACGAAAGAGAGATGATAGTAGAAGCGAGTGTAGTAACTTGCATGAGGGTACATGAAATCGTAACGAATACAGTCTCTCGTACTTTTGAAGACTGTAGGCTTATTCTTCCTCGATCTAGAACACGATTACAAACTATCGATTTTTGAATTGCTATACTAGCACGTCAGAAACTCGAGGTTTTTCGAATTCAGCTTCAAGCCACAAGTCATGCTCTAGATTTCCGCAGACTCCAATACAAAGTCCCAGTGTCACTCTAAACATCCGTTTCGAGAGTTCGGTTCCTGTTTTAGTCTCATCGTCGACCGGTGTGATTACCGCTGCTCAGCTAAATGGCTTTCGTGGCTGCCTGTTGTCGATCAACACAGCAAGCCGTGGCTGAGACCATAGCTGTATCGTCTAGACATCCACCAATTCTCCCGCTTACCAATCTTGATTGCTGTTCTGCACCAATACAGTAAAGTACCAGTTACCTAAAAGCATGTTCCTCAACGATTTGCGACTTTCGCCTTCTCGGAACTGCCGAAAGGAATACAAGCCCCCCTGCATCTGCACGGTTCCTGGCACGCATCACCTATCTGGCTTACAGTCGGTCACTAAGCGAGAGGCAAGGCTGAAAAGGTAAAAGCTTGTTCTCTTTTTTGTTGCGTAATCGGAACATCCACGTTCCTGGTACATCAATATGTGATGTGGCTTTGCTATGAAGGTTAATCTGCAGTGTAACCTGTTTCGTAAGGCGTTTAACGTGACAGAACATCTGTATCTGGCAACTTCTAGGCACTCCATATGCGGAGATTCAGATGTCTCAAATGCTGTAAGAGACTTGTACATCCCAAATTCAGGCTTCAATCAATGGGTTAGTGAGCATCGAGCTAGATTGCTCCAATCTTCACCACGAATGAGCGATGAAACGGCTCGGTAGGATTTAAAATAATTTCGCGCAGACAGCCGAAAAGCTTCTCCGCGGTTCATGCTCCTGTGAGTACGAGAGGTTTGGTTCGTTATAGGCTATACCAAGCATGGAAAGGCATACAATGATGTATTGGCGGCACATTATGCTCCCGCCGACTCAACAATCGCCTTTTCTAGTACAGATCTAGATCGTCTATGGACATCTCTCAGCTGGCATGGCGCCTCAATTAGGGAATTTGTGATCTGGAAGAGTAACTCGACAGTCCCCGAGCGGATGTGACATCTAGCATTCGTATCTCGAAGGCAGACAGGCTACCCGATGCGCAAGCCATTGCAGAGAAACTGTGTGCTCAAGCTGAAACTAGCTGATGTTCGACATACTCAGCAAGCCATGTAAGAATTGGATGCATCGAGAGCATCTATAGAGCTCGAGGTTGTGAACACTTAAAGCAAGCAAGATTCTACACTCAGGATCAGCAAGTAACATTTTTCCAAACTTCAAAATGTCTTACTTTGAGACAGGCTCTTACGCTTCCTCTGATAACTCCACACCATGCTCACCAGCATTCAGTATATCTTCAGTGTACAGCACTCCCACCTCTGAGATCGATGAACTGCAGTACCCCGGCTTGACAGCAGCTAGTCTTCGTCGATCGAGACATATCCTAGTTGTTGGCGGACTTGGTTATATCGGCAGTCATACATCGTTGGAACTTCTTCGAGCAGGTTTCAGCGTTGTGATCATAGACAATCTCGACAACTCATACATGACGACACTGGACCGGATCAAAGCACTAAGAGACGACTACTACTCAGCAAGCTTGTTGAGCCCCTCGCTTATGTTCCACGAAGCCGACTATCAGGATGTGGACGCCATGTCTGCTATTCTTCACCAGTATGGAGCTGGATCACCCAGCTCGGTGATCGAAGGTGTCATCCACTTCGCTGCGTACAAGGCTGTACCCGAAAGCATTCAGCAACCACTCAAGTACTATTCCAATAACGTGTCTGGAATAGTCACTTTCTGCTCGCTATTGGACAGTCTTGACATCAAAACGCTGATCTTTTCCTCTTCAGCAGCCGTTTATGGAGAAGTGACGTCCGAAACTGGACTGCACATAAGCGAGAATCATTGTGTCCATGAAACTCGTGAGTGGACCCGTATGGACGGGAAGACCCAAGTCACACATGGTGGCTGTACAGCAATCTCCAATCCCTACGGCCGGACCAAGTGGATGTGCGAAGCTATTTTGAACGACTTGGCGATATCCGATCCATCTTGGCATATTGTGGCTTTGCGATACTTCAACCCAATTGGCTGTGATGCGTCTGGGAAGCTGGGGGAGGATCCAAAGACGGAACCGAGCAACCTAATGCCTAGCTTACTGCGGGCCATGGATGGTAGGATGTCACACCTCAAGATATTTGGTACGGATTGGGATACCAGGGACGGGACTGCGATGCGAGATTTCATTCATGTCAGCGATCTGGCATTGGGCCACGTTGCAGCCCTCAAAGCGGTCAGTGAGTCGCGACTGCGATGCGGGTCGCTCAATACGTTCAACCTGGGCACGGGAGACGGCAATTCAGTCAAGGAGATTGTGTCAGCTATGCAGACATGTTCGGGAAGTACCATCCCCATAGTGGAGGTAGGGCGGCGCGCTGGTGATGTGGGGGTGGTTGTGGCAGACCCCACGAGGGCAGCGGAAGAACTGCAGTGGAAGACGGAACGGTCGATCGATGATTGTTGCAGGGATCTTTGCAGATATCTGCATATCGATGATTGTACAGCGTAGTTGATGTTCTAGGTTTGGAGCGATTTGTTGCTAGCGGATATTGGGAAGAAACTAAAACATACTAGTGCCTTGTTTCATACTTCTTGCCAAGGCGGAATCTGGATGCCGCGTGTGAATGTCATTGGCTTTCCTTGATGCAGCGCTACTACCATGCCGCCAGTTTCTCTGGTACCATTTCTTCCTCTGCTGTCGTGATGAGCTGTGAAAGATCTAGAAACGCCACACTGCTGAGCCATTGTACAACCAACAGAAGTCCCCCGGGTCGAGTCCGAGTGTTTAAGCGCCTTGTTCATTTTCAATACTAATGCCAGGGATCTACCCAAGTAACATCAGATCCATCGGGTTAGCGACAAAATTTGTAGCTGATACCCATCCTGAGCTCTTGCAGCTGCTAAAAGCTGGAAATTTTATCCATGCAGTAGCCCCGGTTGTCAAAACCTCGAACCAAACTTTTGCCATGTTTCCCACAGCCACACTTCTGTTGGTTTTCGCCATACCTGATTTCCTCACCAAGGTAGCTGCAGAAGATTGTACTGTGTTCTCCACCAATGGCTCAACTGCAGCGACGTACGATTTCTATCGGTTCTACGACTTCCGAAATCTGAGTGAGAGCCTTCTTGGCAATGCGGATACAGTACCCGACAGTGGCGAAAAGCAATCGATAACAGTAGCATCTAATGGACAATCGAAGATCATTGCCGCTTCTCCTTGGAGTGCTGGTTGGGATGCTCGGCATTGGTTGAGGCCAGCAGCGAGAGAAGACACCATCGATATGCACTATACACCATCCAGTGTATCAATAAGTAGGTTATCGAACATGGGGTCTGGTTTATATTAACGAGTGATAGGCAAGAACAACGATGGGTCGAAAGATTCGTCTACCTACCTTACTCTTCACACCACACGGCTGCCCAACGGTACGCAATTAGCATCTGAGCTAGACTTTATCGAGCACAATGCTACATATGCCTCGATACGTATGTCGGCGCGCATACGTGGTGCAAGTGGTGCAATTGCCGGCTTCTTCACATACCACAACGACACCGCCGAGTCGGACATAGAAATTCCAACCGGGGGCACTAGCAACGAAATACATTGCTCAAATCAGCCGACTACAGATCCAGATACAGCAGTACCAATACAAGACGCAACATTCAATGTCTCTATGGAAGATCGTAAACCTACTTCTGGCTGGAACAACTATCGGTTGGACTGGATACGTGGGAGAAGCGCATGGTACGTCGATGGCAAACAGACCGCCGACACTAGTGTAAATGTGCCGGGTGCCGAGAGTACGATCATACTGAACCTTTGGAGCAATGGCGGAAACTTCTCAGGACGAATGGATATTGGGAATGAAGCTTGGTTCGATATTCAGTGGGTTGAGCTGCTTTTCAATACCACTTCTACCACTGTTGCAAAGTCCAGTAGGACTGTATGCTCTGTGGAGTCTTCTCTAGGATCTCCAGTCCCAAGCACTTCCTATTCTATACATGAAAGGGCTTCGGAACACCTTTGGTGGGTTGTCGGGCTGGTCTCGATTGTAATATTTGTACAGTCTATGTGATTTATGGGGGCGCTGGCAGTAAATCTATTTGGAGTTCAATTTTACAGAAAACAAAAAGACAAGATGTTCAAACCCAAGGAGAGACATGAATATTTAGGGCAAGATCGCTGTCAGCCAAGCTGCCCCGCAAACGCCATTGTAACGCGATAGTACTGGACAAACAGTTGTTGAAGAAGAGCTTCACTGTGGATATTAGGGAAAAAAACAATTAACTTGAGCCTTCACTTGCTGGGTGATGTAGTGGATTTGATGTGTGTTTGATTTCTTGAACAGATGACTGTTACAACGAACCAAAAGGAGTTCTCAGTGAATTTTCAAAACACCTGTGAGTACTCCACTAACTCTTTTCTTTCAGTATCCTAAGTAAATTTTGTTACTGAATTCATCCCAAGTAGTATCACAAAGCTCTTTCTTGCTTTCAATCTCATTCCCTTATGATTGGTTGACCATGACCCCTTCCTGTCGGCCTAGTGCCAAGGCACTAGGCGTCAGGATGAGGTAGCCTTGCGGCGTTTTCACAACAAAAACCTTCCCCGCACTCTAACAGAACACACATTTTATCTCTAAAGTCACATCAGCTATTAGGTATTCTTACATACCTCACACGTCTCACACAGCTTGAGCTTTGGTGGTGCGTTACTAGTGGCTAGCCAGCCTTGCACTCTTTCTTGACTTCCCGCGATGGCGAAGATAGTGCAATCATCTGTTCTAGCAGCAGTCGCAAGGCAATTACCTTCTTTTAAAGTTATGAAGTGCTTGACTAATACACAAATAGATGCTTGGATTCAGGCGAATATTCGGATCTCACCATCAAATGTGGAAATGACGTACACAAAGTACACAAAATGATACTTTGCACCCAGTCTGACTTCTTTGCAGGTGCTGTGAGATTTCCGGGCAAAGTGCGTCGCTTTCAGAATGCACTAGACTCTACTAACATGTACAGGAATCTGAACAATCAAACATCGATCTCCCTGAGGACGAGCCGGCAATCATAAAGTTGATAATGGGATATTTTTACACTGGCGATTATAAATGTGACCCACAAGATCTGCCCGACTTTCCGAGTTCTTTTGTCGCCTTTTGTAAGAAGACTTTTCGCAACAAAGAAGATGAATTCTACACGTATGACTTTCCACACTCGTGTGTAGATTGTACACGGGAGCAAGGGGGTACTCCGCTCTGTCCTCATCACCATTGCTCACCTGAACGTAATAGTTGCGGTTTCAGATGCGACAAATTTGTATGCAGTTCCTGTGAGGAGCAGTATGATGACGAAATCGAAGAAATCAGGTTCAAATTGCAAGCTGAAGATCTTCTGGTTCATGCGAAGGTGTATGAAGTTGCCCATAAGTACAACATCGCGGGTTTGAAGGAACTGTCGAAAGAGAAATTCAAGGATGGGTGTGAGAAACATTGGGATGCCAATGGATTCTCAGCTGCTGCAGATTACGCATTCTCGACAGAGAGGGAAGAAGACAAAGGGCTAAGAGATATCGTTATTGACACCATCGCTATGCATATCAAGCTCATGAAAAAGCCAGAAGTTCAAGTGCTTATGGGAGAGTTTGGCAGCTTGTCTCTCGGAGTCTTGTTGAAGAAGGCAGATGACCATCGCTGGTTCTAGGAAAAGAACAATTGCGATCACTCTGCTCGGGGAATTGAGGTGTTACTACAACACCCTCCATCCGCCAATGGAGACGCTACAAGAATCACTGTGGATACGAACACGTAAAACCGCTCAGCTCTTCTCCACCTTTCAATTGTCCATATAATCTCACCAGCAAGGAAAGTTTAAACTTCAATCTGCCTGAGTACAGCGTCTTGGCGTAAGCCTCCATAGATACCCCAAACGACCAGAACAATCAACTTTCGTTTTTGTATATTTCATTTTACATTTCTACATTCCTAGTAACTCCCCCAGTCGTACTCCCAGTCATTAATATGGCGTCAGAGGCCGAAACCCAGATTCTGGGCTCAATCAAAAGGTAACTAACATTCATGATCAAATCATTCCACACCGGCAAACAACGGAACCTAACCTAACCAACCACCACCAAGCTCTCTAATATCAGATCTCTACTCCGACCTCCAAATAACCTGCGGCCCAGATACCCACGCCATCCACAAACTCATCGTCTGCCCACGCGCCGAATCCTTCGCCCGAGCACTCAAATTCGGCGGCTAAGTCTGTAGTTATACCCACATCATCATCATCATCATCCAAAAAGAAACTTATATCACGTGAAATCCCAACACAGCAAACTAACCCAGCTTAAAGGAAACTTCAACAAGCGAAATCAACCTCCCAGAAGACGACCCAGCGATAATAAAACTCCTCTTACAATACCTACACGAGGGTGACTACCACATCCCCCCTTCCCCTTCTTCTCCTCCTCCTCACCACCACTCTACACCAGCGCACCAAACAACCTCCTCACACACCCACCTCTACACTTTATCAGAAAAATACCTTGTTGCCAGCTTGAAACCCCTCATTAGTACTAAAAAAGATTCTCGAGCGCCTATGGGGCGTTTGGGGAAAAGGGATTTTTGTAACCAAGGCGAGGTGCCGTGGTTGAGAGGACGCCGGGTTGGCTCGCCAGAAGGAATGCCCGTCGCCGATATACAAGGTATAGAATTCAGGAGACAGCCCAGTAGATGTTGTTGTTGTTTTTTCTTCTTCAGAAATCAAGAGAGTTGGATTGCGCAATGGAAAGGGGGGAGGGGAGGGAGGGATGAAGTTCAAGAGTGTTGGGTTACCGTGCTTTTTTCTTTTTTTTTAATATGTTGTAGAAGGGGGTATGTAGAGTAGAGAGAGTATAGGACTGAATCACTGTTATTTTGTGAGATAATCGAAAGATAGATTGACTTGAAATAGTTGATATTTGAAAAAAAAAACGCCGAAAACCCTTTGTTGGCACGATAAAGGTGCACGTGGTGAATCAACTTGCAGCTGCAAATACTATAGTGAGGAAGCGGATTGATTGATTGTATCTGTTATCGTGTTGAGTATCTACAGTACCTCCGCGCACGGGCCAATAGGCG